TTTCTTGCCGGAAAGCCCATTCTGTTGCCACGCTTCCAGCTCCTACCCATATTTCAAGTTCAGATCATATTCCACCTCTTGTAAAAAAGCTTCACATTGTTAGCCTGCAGGGAAGTTGCTTTCCAGTGACTGTATGGCTCCTTTCTTGAGATTCCTTTTTATATACCTGTTTTCTGTTTCCCCTTCTAGACTGTAAAAAGTACCTATCATGCTGTGCATGTCATAACTACGTACATGGGATTTTTCTTCTAATTTTTATAAATATCTTTTTTAAATTACTTTCTGACAGGAGAATTGGTGAAAGGTGGAACAGTAGGATGGTAAAAGGATCTTAAAGGCAAAAGTTAGGAAATGAGAGAATAAAAGTTAGGGGAGGAAAAAAAAGATATGAAAGCAAAGATTCTTTAAATTCACTTACCTCCTATGTATATCCTGTTTTAGTTGCTGAGTGTCATAATCATTTTATGGTTTTTCCTCCAGGAGGTCTGTAGGGCTCTCTTGGGTTTATCAATAATTATTGATATGATTTGAAAGCTTGCTATTTTTTTGTTATTAAAACTTAAATACTTATCTCAGATTTCTTAGTAACATTTTCATTACTGAAAACTATAGTTTTTAGCTTTTCAATTTTCTTAACCAAACATAACATTGAAAAGCATTGTCAGTAAATAAAGACATTAAATTAGGGGAGAATAAAGACCATAAGCCAAGAATGATTATTTTGAATAGTTTCTATCTTTTTGGGAGTTTGAGAAGAAAATTTTTATTTTGTTTGTTCACTGGACTTGTAATCTTAACTCAGTTTGAGTTTTTAAATGCTAAGCTAGGTACTAATTTCTTATCAATTTTTATAGCTTATTTTGGAAAGCATTTTTTAAAGATAGCTTAAATTCTTTGTCCTGTTGATGAAATTAGCTTCTTATCCTAAAGTAAGGAAATATTTGTCTTTTTTGCTGGCCATGGCAATAACATAGCCATCTTAATGTTTTGAACTATGTATCACAAGCCAAAGAAGTGTATTTTTTATGATGCTATTTACATAGCTTTTAGTCAAAGCAAATACCATTTACTGGTGTGATAAATACATAGAAAGCTTATTCTGCAATTTTTAAAAGTGATAAACTACCACTATCTGAAATTTATCTGACAAACCGTTTTCTGCAAATAATTGGTATGCTATTATCCACTGAGTTATCTAACAGCTGGTTCAGTTTTTTTCTTTAAATATTAGGTCATCAGTAATGTTGAATTCTGTTTAATGGCATTAGACCAGTGTAGGACCTAGAAAACTTGTTTGTACCCTGTAAAAATAATAACTAGCTAGTAAGTTAGAAAGCCAGTACAATATGGTGGTAAATACTTTTGGATTCAGGGAAGCAAGGACTCTAAGTCATTCCTGCAACTTTGTCATGTTTCTTAACTGAGCCTGTTTCCTTATCTGTGTAATGGATAGAGTTATTATTTCTTCAACAAATAATGTTTGTTGAGCCTCTGTTGTATATCAGGAACCATAAAATATTTTGAATAATAATGATACTTCATAAGTGCATTGGAAAATTAGAATGCATGTGAAACATAGCATAGTCTGTGGAACTTAAGTGAGGAGTAAGTTTTAGTTTGCTAAAATACTATAGGTGGGTATTTAAAAATTGTCTAAAAGTTGCTTTAGGGAATATTTACGCAGTTGATATTTGAACAGTACTGGGGTTAGTTGAAAATCCAGGATAAACAACTCCCATGAAACTTAATAATAGTTTGCAGTTGACTGGAACCCTCACTGACGATGTAAACAATTGATTGATGCATATTTTGTATGTTATGTATGTTTTATAAATGAAAAATATGTGAGAACTGCAAGAGATTTTTTTTTACTGCCATGGAGATTTACTGGAGACAGCTGTTCATGGAGAGATGATTAGTATCATAGGGCATTTTAAGTGTATACTCTATACCTTAGCTCACCACAATAGCAGCAAGAGGTGACTACAAAATTATCACAGTGGTACAATATGTACTACAGTAAATTTTATGCAGTTATGACTTAATACTGCATCCTTACACTTGTTTACATTTCTCTTGAATTCAAATGGTACCATGTACACCTGCTTTTGTGTGCATAAGTTTTGATAAATTTTAACTTTATAATAGTGGTGTGTAGATTTTATTGGAGCAAATGATAAAATAGCCTTACCTACCTTTATTTTATGTAGTCATATTATACCTTTCATTTAATTTTTTGGATATATTTCTAGAATGCCCTTTTTGAGAGATTTTCCAAATTGTTGTAAATCTCCAAAAGAAGAAAATTTATGTGTAAGTGAGCCCACACAGTTCAAGCCCATATTGCTCAAGAGTCAACTGAATGTGCAGGATGTCATGAAATTTTTTAAAATTATTTATTTATTTGAAAGGCAGAGTTACAAAGAGAGAGAGAGAGACATCTTCATCCTCCCTCGTCACTGACTCTCTGAATATTTGCAGAGTAGGTCAGAGGTAGAGAGAGCAAGTCAGAGCTATGCTCAGCAGGGAAGCCTCTTTGAAACATAGTAGCATATATGAGTTTTTCCTATATAGAAAACTTCCTCAGAATTTAATGGTTTAAAATAAAATGGCTTATAATGAAATAAAATGGGCTTATAATTCTGTGAACTACCGAAGTGAGATGGGCTCAGCTGAGAAGTTCTGCTCTCAGTAAGACTCAGTCATGCATCTTTGGTGAGCTGGAAGTCAGTAGACCCACCCACATCCAACAGGCTAGTTAAAGATCATTTCTTGGGGCCAGCACTGTGGCTCATTTGGTTAATTCTCCGCCTGCAGCACTGGCATCCCATATGGTGCCGGGTTCTAGTCCCAGTTGCTCCTCTTCCAGTCTAGCTCTCTGCTGTGGCCCTGGAGGGCAGTGGAGGATGGCCCAAGTGCTTGGGCCCCTGCACCCGCATGGGAGACTGGGAAGAAGCACCTGGTTCCTGGCTTTGGATCGGCGTAGTTCTGGCCGTAGCAGCCATTTGGGGGATGAACCAACGGAAGGAAGACCTTTCTCTCTCTCTCTCTCACTGTCTAACTCTTATCTGTCAAATAAATAAATAAAAAAGGTCATTTATTTATTTGATGGTAGTTATGCTTCCCAAGGTCAGCAAAAGGACAAGTCACAATGTCTAAGCACTTTTCATACCTCTGCGTGCATCATATTTGCTAATTCTCATTGGCCAAAGCAAATAATTGTGGGGCCTGCTCAGGTTTGAAGCATGGGAGAGAGTCCAACTTTTTTTTTTTTTAAGATTTATTTATTTATTTGAAAGGCACAGTTACAGAGAAACAGAAGCAGAGAGAGAGAAGTCTTCTTTCTGCTGGTTCACTCCCTAAATGGCCGCAACAGCTAGAGCCGGACCAGTCTGAAGCTAGGAGCTTCTTCCAGGTCTCCCATGTGGGTGTAGGAGCCCAGAGACTTGGGTCACCCTCTACTGCTTTCCCAAGCCATAGCAGAAAGCTGGATCGGAAGTAGAGCAGCCAGGAATCAAACTGACGCTCATGTGGGATGCTGGCACTGTAGGCGATGGCTTTACTCACTACGCCAGTGTCAACCCCCCGACTCTTTTTTGTAAAGATTTATTTATTTATTTGAAACACAGAGTTATAGAGAGGGAAAGACAGAGAGACAGATCTTCCATCCATTGATTCACTCTCCAAATGGCCATAAGGGCTGGAACTGGGCCGGACCAAAGCCAGGATCCTCCTCAGGTCTCCCATGTGGGTGCAGGGTCCCAGTACACTTGGTCCAACTTCCGCTGCTTTCCCAGGCCAATAGCAGGGAGCTGGATTGGAAGTGGAACAGCTAGGCCTTGAACTTGTGCCGATATGGGATGCCCACTCTGTAGGCTACTGCTTAACTTAGTACGTCACAGTGCCAACCCTGATGTGTTTCTAATAGTATATTTAATAGGCCGGCGCCGCGGCTCACTAGGCTAATCCTCCGCCTTGCGGCGCCGGCACACCGGGTTCTAGTCCTGGTCGGGGTGCCGGATTCTGTCCCGGTTGCCCCCCTTCCAGGCCAGCTCTCTGCTGTGGCCAGGGATTGCAGTGGAGGATGGCCCAAGTGCTTGGGCCCTGCACCCACATGGGAGACCAGGAGAAGCACCTGGCTCCTGCCATCAGATCAGCGCGGTGCGCCGGCCATAGTGGCCATTGGAGGGTGAACCAACGGCAAAAGGAAGACCTTTCTCTCTTTCTCTCTCACTGTCCACTCTGCCTGTCAAAAAAAAAATGTATATTTAATAGTAAATTTTTAATACTTTTTTTTTCTAAAATTAAGATTTGTGGAATTTGATTTGTACATGTACACCTGGATCATACTAGAAATAATAACTTGTTTGAATAGAGAGTGTTCAAAGGAGTGAATGTACTGGATCAGCTAATCTTGAAATAACCCCATGAGATAGGCATTATTGTTCTTACTCAGATGAAGAAACTGAACTACACAAAGTTTAGTTAATTTACCTGAGGTTACACAGTTAGTACTATAACCGGGATTCAACACCTTGTGCATTTGATCTTAACTCTAGTCCAGTAGTTAATTGTGGTCGCTCCTAGATTTTACAATCAGTTTAACTATTTGAATAACTCATAAGATCATCATGTTAAGCAAAACCAACCAAAGTATTGCCTCTTCCCTGAACATTTACTGATCTCTGTAATTAGTGTTGGGTTGTATAGGAAGGTATCACAACAGATGACTAGGCATTAGAGTAGCTAGAGTTGGTAATTAGAATTTCAAACTCTGTGATTAAAAATATCCGTATATTAATGAATCATTTTGTTACTTGTTTTTCAGTGTGGTTCCTGGTGATATGTTTGACTTCATTAAATCAGCATTTATTATGATTATAGTTTTGATGAATAGATCAGCTTAGACTGGATCAGTGATTATTTAATAATGGATTTAGTTAAAACCTGTTAAAATGGTTACACAAGGATTAATTTTGTATTTTTTTCTCCCCCTTTAGTAAAGTAAAACAGGGTCTGTTACCTAGCTTGGAAGATTTGCTGTTCTATACAATTGCAGAAGGACAAGAGAAAATACCTGTTCATAAATTCATTACAGTAAGTTTTTATCTTTCTACCTTAATATTTTAAAAACTCTGTAATACTAAGTCAGTAATACAGTATTATTGAATTGTAGGGTTAAAGTTCATCTGACATGTAGATTCTGACTGACCCTGTCTCTCTTAACTACATTTCCAAATTTTTATCATACTTATTTCAAGGTAATCTATGAAAGAAAAAAAGAAACAATGAGAAACTTGTCCAAAAAGTGGATAATAGTGACACTAAAATGCCATATACATATTCAAGTCTTGGGTAGATATTTTTGTATACAGGAATAAAACTTGTAGTTGGAATAAGCCTATACATTATTTGCACTATATATTTACAAACTCTTATTTTTTTAAAAACAGGCACTCAAATCTACAGGATTGCGAACGTCTGATCCCAGGTTGAAAGAGTGTATGGATATGTTAAGATTAACTCTTCAAACAACGTCAGATGGTGTCATGCTAGACAAAGATCTTTTTAAAAAGTAAAAATTTCTGCCAAACCTTTAATGGTGATATGCTATGCTGTATGGTGATTTTGCTTTTTAAAACAGAATTGCATCTTTGAAGGCCAGTGCTTCCTGTGTACATGAAAAAAAGGATTTATAAACATCATTTGTGTGAAAAACAGTGATGGTATACATTGAGTTTCTATACTACACTAGGCTAAGAGTATGCAGTCTTTAAATCTGTTCTGAGGAGATTCAGCCATTGGTATTTCCAGTTTACCTTATCTGGAGATTGCATTCACTTTGAGCACCTCCTTTATCCTGTCCTTGCTTAGATTGATTTCCAGTTCATCTGCATGGCTTTCTCCACAGGGCTTCTAGTTCTCACAAGGTGATTTAGATGACATCAAAAAGTGAGAGGGCTTCAGACAGCCCTGTATCCCTTAGATTTATATATCTTTGCTATCTTTTTCTTTCTTCTCTTCAGAAATATTCATAAAAAGGATTTTGATGATTTCATTTCCTTCAAAACAGTTAAGAACTAAAGAGAGCTTTGGAGATTAAAGCCCTGATGTGCTTGAATGAGGCTCTTTTGATTCCTATATTTGCATATGTTTGTTATTTTTCTTCATTAATTGTTTCTGTTTAATGAACAATGTTTGTAATGGATCTTAGGGTTAAAAATAGTATTTTTACTAATAATTTCTACTAATAATTAAGTGGAAACAAGTATAAAACTGCACTATTGTTATTATAAGATATTGCCTTTTTCTAGAATAGCCTAGGTTGAGATGGATCCAAAGATTTGCAGCATCTACTTTATGTATATGTATGTATTTACCTCTGTTTTACTTTGTTTTGGGGATTGAATGATTTGTTCTAAACATCTCCAGGGAATGTCCTAGATTGTTAAATCATCTGAAGGTCTAAGTATTTAACAGAGCTTCTGTAAATTTCGTGGTATGCCTTGAAGCATTGCTGAGAATTCTGGGGTTTTGGTTTTAAAGCAAGAGGTTCTCAGTTCTATTAACTCAAGTGTAGATCTTAGATCCTTGTTGCAATTGGTTTTTAGGAATTTTGAATCTCTAGAACCCGTTTATTTGTGAAGGAAAATAATTCACTTATCTAGACTTACCTGTGCCTTTACAGTAAGGATTATTTTATTTTTAGCGTTCATGAATTATTTGTGTCAAGTACCCTGATTATTGTGGCTTCTGGGGAGGCATTTTTATTTATCTGTGAATGGAGTTGTCAGAGAGATGGTAGGTGAGAGGAACTGGTTTTGGAATTTTAAGTAGAAGCAGTATTTTGCACAGTTTTAATACTGTGTAAAATGTCTTGAGCTTTATCAACATGTTGCTGTGTTTAAAAGCAATTTACTCTTGATTATGAAGGCAGGAAGCCACAATCATAAACTTTTCTACCTATAATTAAAATAATAAATACCATAATTTTAAGCACTAATCCAATTTTGGTGGGGGGAAAAAACCCTGATTGTAATACAGGTAGTTCCCAACTTGACACTGCTTACTGGTCTATATTAGTGAGTTGAAGGCATAGTGACTTCTCCATCCCAAGATGAGGTGACTGAAAACCTCCATTAACCTTTCCTGGAAAGGTGATTGTTCCAGAAAAGTTCCTTTTCTGTTTTCAAATATAATAAATTATCTAGTATTGCCAGAAATAAACTGTTTCACCTCCGTACAGCTTGGGAAGAATTATTTAAGCAAGGAATTCATTTTCCTCAAGAAATAATTTATAAAGGTGGATAGGTTTAGTTGATGTCAACATATTATTTTACCAAAAATATATTGCAGATTAATTTATTTGGGTTATGTGGTAATCTGAGAAGCAACTGTTATGTATGTATGACTTTTTCTTTAACATAGGAAAATGAGTTCTAAGCATTCTTTTTAGGCTGTAATGTATTTGAAATTTGGAGACTGCCTGTACCCATCTAGATAATCAATTTTAATGCTAATACATAAAAATAATAGGAGTAAAACATTTTGTGTTGAAAATCAATCTTTCATTCATGTATTTTTTTTAATCTTGTAGGTATTAGAACTATTTTTATGTGTAATCAGAATTTTCCTCCTATTTTATTTTTGGAGAAAGTAAATGACAATCTTTGCATTTGCATTTATATCTTGTTAGATTTTCCTAAAACATTTCATATCTATTAATGATATTTTGTAAAACATTGAAGTACATTGCAAGTGTTGGTTAAGATACTTGACAAAGGACAGAACATGATTATTCCCAGTTTACAGATAAGAATACTGAACAAAGAGAAAGGTGGAACTTGCTGAAAATCAGTATAAGCACCTCTCAAAGTTCATTTTATATGATTTCCAATTTTCTAGTTAGACTTATGATGGCTGTATTAAAATAAGTTTACCAGTGAAGGCTATTGCTGTAGCTTTGCCATCACCTTCTAGAGCAAAAAACCCCTGAAGTTTCACAACTACACAGTTTTGTTGATTATAAATGGGTCTTTTAAAACTGCTGATGAATTTTGAATTGTTAAATAGTGATAGGTTAATAACATAATTTAATCCCATAGTTTCTTTCTTTCTTTTTTTTTTTTTTTTTTTAATTTATTTGACACAAAGAGTTAGAGAGAGAGAGAGAAAGGTCTTCCTTCCATTGGTTCACCCCTAAATGGCCGCTATGGCCGGAACTACGCTGATCCAAAGCCAGGAGCCAGGTGCTTCCTCATGGGAGACCATGCAGGTACAGGGGCCCAAGTACTTGGGCCATCTTCCACTGCCCTCCAGGGCCACAGCAGAGAGCTGGACTAGAAGAGGAGCAACCGGGACTAAAACCCAGCACCATATAGGATGCTGGTGCCTCAGGCGGAGGATTAACCAAGTGAGCCATGGCGCTGGCCCCATAATCCCATATTTTCTTATTTACAGCTTCTTTAAAAATGAGGAGGTAGAGTTGATTTGATATAGATAAAAGTAGTAATTTCAGAGCAGACATTATCCTAATTTTTGCTCTCTGAGAAAAGTATTCTATTGTATAAATCCCTTGCAGCCTTGATATTTGAAAATTGAATTTTAGAAGCTATTAGAAACATTAAATGTTAAAGAAATGGTAGTATTTTTTAGATTAACATGAAAAATATCAAAAAATTTATTAAAGTAGATACTTGTTAGCTCTAGGATGTCAGTATTACATCTAACATTGATGGTCTGTTGGGACTATAATTTTATTTATTTATTTATCTGAGAGGAGACAGAGAGGTCTTCCATTTGCTGGTTCACTTCCCAAATGGCCACAAAGACTGGAGCTGGGCCAATCCGAAGCCAGGAGCAGGTTTCCCATGTGGGTGCAGGGGCCCAAGCATTGGGCCATCTTCTGTATGACCGGGCTATCAGCATGGAGCTGGATTGGAAGTGGAGCAGCCAAGACTGGAACCGGCGCCCTTTTGGGATGCCTGCACTTCAGGCTGAGGCTTTACCTCCTATGCCACAGTTCCAGTCCCGGGACTATGATATTTTTATGTTGTAATGGGGAGAGGGTTATCATTGAAGCATTAGCAATTTATTAGGATTTTATTTTAAGCCTGTGTTAATTTTATGTAACCAAATGAACATATATTCTGAATTTTTATTAGTAGTTAAAATATAAAAGCTAATTTTAAATTTTACTTTCATGTTGCCCTCTAGTAAAACATAAAATATGGAGATTCTCATTTATCACACAGTAAGAAATATTGAGTGTTAACTTCTTCACTTATGATTAGTGAAATGATTTTTTTTAAATGTTGCTGTTATTTCTGCCTAGTTTTCTATATTTTTTTTTTTATTTGACTGGTAGAGTTATAGACAGTGAGAGAGAGAGAGAGGTCTTCCTTCCGTTGGTTCACCCCCAGATGGCTGCTATGGCCGGAACTGTGCTGATCAAAAGCCAGGATCCAGGTGTTTCCTCCCTGTCTCCCGTGCGGGTGCAGGGGCCCAAGCACTTGGGCCATCCTCCACTGCCCTCCAGGGCCACAGCAGAGAGCTGGACTGGAAGGGGAGCAGCCGGGACTAGAACCCGGCGTCCATATGGGATGCAGGCCCTGTGAAATGATTTTTGATTAGTGGAAGTTACTCAATATCTTAGTCTTATTTTCTTTATCTGTATGATGGAAAAATTCTCAAAGTGTTAATGTTTTGAAGATTAAATAGGGTGACTAGTATATGAAACTTAGTAATATTTTTTTTAAAGTAAAATGCCATTTTTCCCCTCCTCCTTAAAGAAAGCTGCAAATAGATTATTACATCATTTATTCATGTGGAATCTTGTTACAGAAATAACTTCTGACAGTAATGATGACTTTTAATACTTCAGTTGTCAACATTTGAGATTTTATCTCCCATTTAAGATTCAGTGTAGTTGGTGTTACGACTCAACACCTGTGTCTAGCAAGTCTTCATCAACTAAGTATTCTATTATTGAATAACTGAAACTGCCTAATCCTAGGAAGACTCATAATAAACTTAGTGTATTTAGTTGGCTGTAATCTATTTTCAAAAGTGTTCCTTAAGGTTCTATTAATATATTGGTTTTCTGGCTTAAATTCTTTTCAGTACAAACTAGACTATTGATTCAAATTAGATTTCATGCCCTTCTGTCCCTGTAGTTTATCACATCTTTTGTGTGTGTGTTTTTTTTTAAGATTTCATTGATTTATTTGAGAGGTAACGTTATAGAGAGAGAAAGAGGGAGAGACAGAGAGAAAGGTCTTCCATCTGCTGGTTCACTCCCCAAGATGGGCACCAGGAGCCAGGAGCCTATTCCTGGCAGATTAAGGGACCCAAGGACTTGGGCCATCTACCACTGCTTTTCCAGACCATAGCAGAGAGCTGGATTGGAAGAAGAGCAGCCAGGACATGCGATTCTGGTGCTACAGGTGGAGTCTTAGCCCACTACACCATAGCACCGGCCCCATGTCTTTGATTTTTAACAGTGAGACATTTTTGTTTGGCATTCTGATATTTTTGGTGATTCAATAATGTAAAATTAATTATTAAGCAACTCTCTTTGAAACTTTATTTAAAATTATATTTACTTTTACAAATATTTTGGTATTATTTCATTTAAGAGAAATTTTGACTAAAGTTATTTTATCTCCAATTCTTTAAGTTAGAAATAGATGTTTTGTAAAATAATTCAGGAGAAAGATGTTAAATGTACAATGTTTATGTTTTTGTGTGTGAAATATTGGTTAATGTTCAAAGGAACCAGGAGGTGTGTTACTGAGTTTACTTAATTAAAAACAGATTTTTTTTTTTTAAGACTATTTTTCATTTATTTGAAAGGCAGAGTTGGAGAGGAGTAGAGACGCAGAGGACAGAGATCTTCATCTGCTGGTTCACTACCCAAATGGCTGCAGTGGCCAGGGCTATGCCAGGCTGAAGCCAGGAGCCCAGAGCTTCTTGGTCTCTCACGTGGGCACAAGGGCCCAAGGACTTGAACCATCTTCCTTAGTTTCCCCAGGCACATTAGCAAGGAGCTGGTCTTGAACCAGTGCCCATATGGAGTGCTTACGTTATAGGCAGAGGCTTAACCTGCTATGCCACAATGCCAGCCTCCAAAATATTATCTTAACCATGTCATTAAAGACTGATTGTTGTCATGCTGAATGTTTTATTTCATTTTTTTAATTTTTAAAGATCTATTTATTCGAAAGAGTTAATGAGACAGGGATGCTGAATGTTTACCAATTCTTATAGGGTAAGAAGTTTGTTACAGATGCTCTGAGTATTTAAATCTGGTGGAATGCTCTGTTATTGTTCATCTTTGCAGTTTTTAGGTACAACTAATTCTGACTTCTTCAACAGCTTAAAAAAAGCTACATGAAAGACTGCTGGAAGGAAAGGAAATAATATAAAAAGAATGTAATTTATATAATTTAGTTGTATAAACTTATGACTTTTTCTTATCTGAATATGAGGCTAATATTAATATTGTAATTGTACTGTTATTACCAAGTACTAATATTTGAAACACAGCTAGTCTATTAATTTTTTTTTACATTTCACAGATGTGTTCAAAGCAACATTGTTTTGTTGACACAAGCTTTTAGAAGAAAGTTTGTCATTCCTGACTTTATGTCTTTTACCTCACACATTGATGAGTTATATGAAAGTGCTAAAAAACAGTCAGGAGGAAAGGTAATGCTTTTGATGTTCATGTTTTCCTAACCCAGTCACTTAATAAATTTAGAGCAACTTGAGGCATAGACAGTAAAATTGTGTAGTATCCTTGTGTTTTGCTAATTAGGTAACTTAAATGAAGCTACTAGATTTAGTGTCTTAAAAAGTTTTTAAATATTTAACTTTGTTACAAAGAGGAAATCTAATTTGAAGGCATCTTTTTAATTTTCAAATGATCAAGATGATTTGTAAAATTTTAATTAAAACATTTTATTGGGAATTTCTGCAGATGTGTTTATCCTTGAATCTTAAATGAAATGTTCCAATTTTTAAAATCCTCTAAATAATACTAGGGCTATTTTGTTTAATCGACTTGCAAAGCTTTGTTATAGGTTTAGGTAGCTTTAGTATGATACGAGCTTAATAATATTTTTAGACATTAGTTCTAATTTTTTTGTGAAACTCTACCAGCATTTATGACCCTGGTTAAAGAAGTTCTTTACTTTTTTTTAAAGAAGTCAAATTCAAGTTTCTCTCATATTTTAAAGATTTATTTTATTTATTTGAAAGAGTTATAGAGACTAGAGACAGAGAGAATCTTCCATATGCTGGTTCACTCCCCAGATGGCTGCAATGGCCAGGACTGAGCCAGGCAGAAGCCAGGAGCCAGGAACTTCTTACAGGCCACCCAAGTGGGTGCAGGGGCCTAAGCACTTGGGCCATTCTCCACTGCTTTCCTAAGCATGTTACAAGGGAACTGGATTGGAAGTGGAGCAACTGGGACTCCAGCAGGCGCTCATGGGATGCTGGTGCTGTCGGCCAGGGCTTTAACCCGGTGCCCCACAGTGCCAGCCCCTCTTTTTTAAAAAATATTTATTTTATTTACTTGACAGAGTTACAGAGAGAGGTAGCCACACAGAGAGAAAGAGAGGTCTTCTATCTGCTGGTTCACTCTCCAAATGGCTGCAACCGCTGGAACTGAGCCTATCCAAATCCAGGAGCCAGGAGCTTCTAACGAGGGTGCAGGGGCCCAAGGACTTGGGATATCTTCTACTGCTTTCCCAGGCCATAGCAGAGAGCTGGATTGGAAGTGGAGTAGCCAGGACTCAAACCAGCGCCTATATGGGATGCCAGCACTACAGGCTGGGGCTTTAACCTGCTGTGCCACGGCACAAATGGCTGCCAAAGCCAGGGCTGGGCCGGGCTGAAGCCAGGAGCCAGGAGCTTCTGAGTTTCCCATGTGGGTGCAGGGGCCCAAGGTCTTGAGCCATCTTACCTTGCTTTCCCAGGCGCATTAGCAGGGAGCTGGATCAGAAGTCAAACAGCCTGGACACATATGGGCAACCCTATGGAATGTGGGCACTGCAGGAGTTTGCTTAACCTTCTGTGCTACAGCACTGGTTCCAAGTTATTTTTTCAGACTCTCCTCTTACAGGGAGAAAGGAGGCATTGGAAAACATAAGGGATGTGGAGATTGGGAAGTCACTTCAGATCTCACTCAAAATCCTTAAGTCTGTTATGCTCTTATTTTTTTCGAACATTGTTTAAAAAGATAAACCTGTAAAGCTACTGCATATCATAAAGTGTGACTGTTAGAAGCTAAATAAGAAATTTTGGGGTAGAAGAAAATGTGTTTTTGCCTGAATTATATTTGAGAATTTCTTTCTAATATTTTGGATAGGTTGCAGATTATATTCCTCAACTGGCCAAGTTCAGTCCTGATTTGTGGGGTGTGTCTGTCTGTACAGTAGATGGACAGAGGTAAGTTTATTTGAAATACATGAAAACCAATTCATTTTTGCATAACAGTGAACTTAAGATGGAGGAGACCATTGTTTATAACAAAAATTATTCCCAACAAGATAGAATTTCAAGGCAGCAAAGAAGTTTAGATTTTCATTTAATATTTAAAAGCTGAACTGAAATGGTAACTTTTTTACTAAGTTTTGATGTATTATATCTATATAAATATCATTGTAGTTCTGAGTATTCAACTACCTTTGGCTTCAGATTTTTTAGGAAAAGTAGACTTGTCAAAAGATGACATTAAAAAAATGACATTGTGTAATGAACTGACCACTAATAAAGTCTTCACATCATTGCTTACCATTGGTTACTCACCTTGTCATTATATTTGTTCCTTAGGTCCTGATATGAGTAGTATGAGTTAAGACAGTGAAGCATAGCATATTCAACTTTCATTAGTTGTTTACAAAGTGAAATGTTAATTGCAAAATAGGCAGAATAACATGAAGTTTACGAAAGCCATAGTTAGGAAACACTCACTTTGCAGGTACAGACAGCTGCTGACAAATAAGGAACTTACAAAATTATAATAAAGAGGATTGTGATGTGAGAGTACTTTAAAGAGAGTGATTTAATTTTAAAGAACGAAGAATGGAAAGAGATCCTTGAAAAATAGTAAAGCTATGGAATATTTTTTTCATGAAGCATCGTTTTTCTTTTTTTTTCTCTTTTTCTTTATTTTCTTTTTATTTTCTGGACAGTGAGACAGAGAGAAAGGTCTTCCTTTGCTGTTGGTTCACCCCACAATGGCCGCTGTGGCCGGCGTGCTGCGGCCTGCGCACCGCGCTGATCCAAAGCCAGGAGCCAGGTGCTTCTCCTGGTCTCCCATGCGGGTGCAGGACCCAAGGACTTGGGCCATCCTCCACTGCACTCCCGGGCCACAGCAAAGAGCTGGACTAGAAGAGGAGCAACCGGGACAGAATCCAGCACCCCGACCAGGACTAGAACCTGGGGTGCTGGTGCCGTAGGCGGAGGATTAGCCTATTGAGCCACGGTGCTGGCCGGCATTCTTTTTCCTAAGCTAGAAATCAGTAATTTGGCTTTGTAAGAAAAATTATGCTGTAAAAAAAAATCGATGTTTTTCCATTAATTTAAAATTGAGCTCACAGATACAACCTGTTTTGGTTTTTATTAGTTATTTTTAAAAATTCAAGTTTAACTTAAATGAAGTAAGATGTACTACCCATTAATGTATATTCAGTTTGATTGATTATATTAGAGATACAATTTTTTCAAAAACTTAAGTCATTTATTTAATCTTATGATTTCGGTTTTACTTTTTAAAATGATATCCCAATTAAAGCTTTTTTCCTCTGAAATTTTGTTTGTATCATTACTATAAGCACTTTTTATTTTTTACTATTCTTAAGTATTTTCAACACCAAAAACATTTGGTTTGGCTCATTCATTTTGAATATAAGGAATCTGAGATCAGAGTTGACATGATGTTGATAAAGGTAGAATGAACACTGAGGTCTCTTAACTAATCCATTTTCTTCCTATTGTAGTCTTTTAAAGTCTGCTTAACACTTGATGTGTGTTGAATTACATGTTGAGTGCTGAGAAGTAAATTATAATAGGGAGTGTTATTCCTGGTTTTGCATTTTGAGGTAATAGTTTATTATGTAATAGAAAATTTTGAATTTGGAGGAAATTATCATGTAGTTCTTGAACATTGATTTATCTGTTTGTAAACAGTCTCTTTTTAATATTTATATATATTTGAAAGGCAGTGAGAGAGAGAGATCTTCCATCCTCTGGCTTACCCTCCCAATTGGACAGAATGGCTGGAGGCTAGGCCAAACCAAAGCTAGGAGGCAAAGCTCCATGTAGTCTCTCACGTGGTTGCTGGGGCTAAAATATTTGGGCCGTCTTACACTGTTTTCCCAGGCACATTAGCAAGGAGCTGGATCAGAAGTAGAAGCAACTAGGATTCAAACTGTCACCTATTTGCGATGCTGGTATTGCAGGTGGTGGCTTAACCCACTGTGCCACAAAGCTAGCCCTAACAGTGTCTTTGTTTCATGGTATTACTTAGAGAATGCTGAAAATTGAATTTTAAACTAGAACATACATATTTTTAAATCCAAACATGGTAATACGAGCCTTTTATCCTTTTTTTTTAGAATGGTTGTTGAAGTCTGGATTAGTTATATAAGTTTTATAGAAAAAATGTGTACCTGTGTACATTGTATAACATACTTAGTAGTGGAGGTGGTCATTTTTCCATGTACCCCTGAAAGTCTATATTGACTCTGCTTGGATCTACAGTACATGATGGTGATGACTGCCTGCCCTGACTTGGTGCCATTTCTGTCCTGTATGTAAAACTGGATGGATTCTTTGTTTTTATGTGGATGGAAATGTGCATAGATGTGGTTCAGAAGATGAGGCACTTATAGATGAGGTGTGATATAATAGTATAGGATCTAGACTCAAATTAACTGTGGTTTAGCATGGCTTAAGGCTGTGGGTATAAAAAAGGTGGATAATTTCTAAGTAGGCTAGTTCGTTTATATGACAGAATACAGGTAAAAGCAAAAAGAGATGTACCCTCTTGCTCTCAGAGGAAAATTTTCACATTATTATTATTTTTATTATTAGAGATTTATTTCATTTATTTGAAAGATTTACAGAGAGAAGTAGAGACACAGAGAGGCAGAAAGGTCTTCCATCCACTCCGCAAATGGCCACAACAGCCAGAGCTGGGCTGATCTGAAGCCAGGAGCCAGGAGCTTCTTCTGGGTCTCTCATTCGGGTGCAGGGCCCCAAGGACTTGGGCTATCTTCCACTGCTCTTCCAGTGGAAGAGCACATTAGCAGGGAGCTGCATCAGGAGTGGAGCAGCTGGAACTTGAACTATTGCCCTTGTGAGATGCTGGTGCTGCAGGCCAGGTCTTTAATCCATTGAGCCCCAGCCCTGGCTTCACATTAATTATTTTTAAAAAATACTTATTTTAGCCGGCGCCACGGCTCACTAGGTTAATCCTCCTCCTTGCGGCGCAGGCACACCGGGTTCTAGTCCCGGTCGGGGTACCGGATTCTGTCCCGGTTGCCCCTCTTCCAGGCCAGCTCTCTGCTGTGGCCAGGGAGTGCAGTGGAGGATGGCCCAAGTGCTTGGGCCCTGCACCCCATGGGAGACCAGGGTAAGCACCTGGCTCCTGCTATCGGATCAGCGCGGTGCGCCGGCTGCAGTGCGCCGGCCGCGGCGACCATTGGAGGGTAAACCAACGGCAAAGGAAGACCTTTCTCTCTGTCTCTCTTTCTCACTGTCTAAACTCTGCCTGTCAAAAAAAAAAAAAAAAAAATACTTATTTTATTTATTTGAAAGGCAGAGTGAAACAAATTGAGGGAGAGACAGAGATCTTTCATCCACTGGTTCACTTCCCACATAATTGCAACGACCAGGGCTGAGCCAAGCTAAAGCCAGGAACTCCATCCAGCTTTCCCATGTGGTTGATAGACCCTAAGTATTTAAGCATCATCTACTACTTTCTAAGGCATATTAGCAGGCAGCTGGATTGGAAGTGGAACAGCAAAGACTGGAACTCATGCTTCAACATGGAATGCTGGTGTGGCAGCTGCTGGCTTAACCTGCTGCAGCACGGCACCAGCCCCATATTACCTAAGTACTTTTAAACTTTTGTCTTTTGGGAGCTGTGGAGCAGCGGGTTGAAGTCCTGGCCTGAAGTGCCGGCATCCCATATGGGCGCCGGTTCTAGTCCCGGCCGCTCCTCTTCCAATCCAGCTCTCTGCTTTGGCCTGGGATAGCAGTAGAAGATGGCTGGGCCCCTGTACTCGCGTGGGAGACCCGGAAGCAGCTCCTGACTCCTGGCTTCCAATTGCCATAGCTTCTGCTGTTACGGCCATCTGGGGAGTGAACCAGTAGATGGAAAACCTCTCTCTATGTCTCTACCTCTCTCTGTAACTGTCTTTCAAATAAATCTTTAAAACAAAACAAAACAAAACAAAACCTTCTGTCTTGTGGTATCTCTCTTAAACATATTTGTATTCTTTAATTTTGAAGTAAACTTTGGGGATTGAATCACAGAAAAATGTGAATTGGAATTAACATGTATAGAATAACTCAAATTATCTACTTATGTTTTTTTCCTGTTGATGTTAATTATTTTTTTAAATCTGCTTTTAAATAGGCATTCTATTGGCGATACCAAAGTTCCCTTTTGTCTTCAGTCTTGTGTAAAACCTTTAAAATACGCCATTGCTGTTAATGATCTTGGAACTGAATATGTGCATCGATATGTTGGGAAAGAGCCAAGTGGATTACGATTCAACAAACTGTTTTTAAATGAAGATGGTAAGAATTACATAGATGCTGGCTTGAAAAAGAAATTTTATTTTTCTGTGTAAATTGAAGTAATTTTTTAAAAAAATTCTTTGATAATTAAGTATTAGTACCTTTCTAAGGTACTAAAGGTACTAAGGTACCTTTCTAAATTCTAAGATAATTAAGTATTGTACCTTTGATTTGTCAGTGCTTTTGGTGAAATCCATAAAAATTCAGTCACCTGCTCTTAAAAATAGTTATTTTAGGCATCTTTTATCACTGAGGAGTAAGTCTAGAGAAGGTGGGAACGGAGTAAGATTTTCACTTTGTAACTTCCAGTAAGGGAATGTTTTGTAGTAAAACTTGAAAGTGTCTCAGATTTCCTTGAAAATAATTTAGTGGAGACTGCTGGGGGCAGGGGGAGGGTGGGTGTGAATATTAATATAGTGGGTGATTATTGGAGCAAAATGATGAGTGTTCAAGAGGTCATAGAAAATACATATTATGAAAAAACACTGTTGGTTATCAGGTTTTTTTTTGGATACCCAATTAAGTGTATCTTTAGTTTCATTTTTCCATGAATATTTTGATTATTTTGTGTGGATATTCATTTATTATTATTTCTAAACACAATCTAAAGCCTGTAAACTAGGTTAAACTTTAATTTCTATGGATTAGTTTCTGGTTTTTACTCTTTGAAGTATATGCTAGGTTCCTGACTATGTGAGTTAAGATACAGAATTGAAGGTGAGTGTGAAGGTTGCAATAGTGGTTATTGAAAATATACTTAACATAATTTTTTTCTTTCAGCTAGATGGAAAATGAAATGTGCCTTATACTTACTAGTTTTTTAAATGAAGATCTTAAGACTTGGTTTTTCTTCTGCTGATTTACTGCCCCTTTTTTTAGATTTATTTATTTATTTATTTATTTGAGAGGTACAGTAACAGACAGTGAGAGGGAGAGACAGAGAGAAAGGTCTTTGGTCTGCTGGTTCACTCCCCCAATGGCCGCAGTGGCTGGAGCTGCGCCGATCTGAAGCCAGGAACCAGGTGCTTCCTGCTGGTCTCCCATGCGGGTGCAGGGGCCCAAGCACTTGGGCCATCCTCCACTGCTTTCCCAGGCCACAGCAGAGATTGGAAGAGGAGCAGCCGGGACTAGAACCGGTTCCCATATGGAATGCCGGCACCGCAGGCAGAGGATTAACCTAGTGCTCTACAGCGGGCCCCTACTGCTTTTGTTTTTTAGAGCAGTGTGTTTTTTTTTTTTAACCTATTTTACAATAATCTTTCTATCCTGATGCTCCATTTTGTTTCATGGAAATTATCATAAAGTAGCAACTTTAGTAAGAGATCAAATGCAGGAACACTTTATTAAGCTCATTGACATCCAGATTTAATATTGAGATAATTAATACTGTGAATTCTAATAAGACTAATTTATAAGAGAAATTAACATTTTTCTGTGAAAAGCAAAGGAGAATAATTTTGATTTTTCTGGTGAAATGATTGGTTTTAAGACAGTTATTTAAAGACTAGAAAATAGGCCGGTGCCACGGCTCACTAGGCTAATCCTCCGCCTGCAGCACCGACACCTTGGGTTCTAGTCCTGGTCGGGGCGCCGGATTCTGTCCCGGTTGCCCCTCTTCCTGTCCAGCTCTCTGCTGTGGCCTGGGAGTGCAGTGGAGGATGGCCCAAGTGCTTGGGCCCTGCACCCGCATGGGAGACCAGGAGAAGCACCTGGCTCCTGGCTTTGGATCAGTGCAGTGTGCCGGCCGCAGCGGCCATTGTGGGGTGAACCAACAGAAAAGGCAGACCTTTCTCTCTGTCTCTCTCACTGTCCACTCTGCCTGTCAAAAAAAAAGAAAAAAGAAAAAAAAAAGAAAAAGAAAGACAGACTAGAAAATAAAACAAATGCAGGACTTGATGTTAAGAAATAAGTTCAGACAAAAATAAATGAAATGGACTTCAGGTAAAAGAACTTAATGCTGTAAGTAATTTTTCTGCCATGTGTATTTATGGTTTTAGAAATACTGTTAGTGTACTCTGTGAGAGAAAATCTTGATAAGAACTCAGGAATTTAGTATGGTTTTATAATAACTTCAGTAAAAAACATTTAGCAGTAGATTTTGCCTTGGTATCCAGTTGACTTTTTCTCCGCATTATCCTACTGTTTCTTGAGGTTTGAATAAATCCTGTGCCCTTGAGTCATAGTTTAGACCAGCCCTAGGAAAAAACAATTTGAAGTTCTTTTTTATTTAAAATGTGAAGGATACATTTATGATAGTGGTAAAACTATACACTTTGTGTATGTGCATGTGCATTTGTATCTCTGTCTAGCATTACAGATTTAAAAAGATAAGTTTGTTAGTATTACCCTAGTTCTATAAGATTATGATGATAAGATTAAGGTGAAGGGGCTGGCACAGTGTCGTATCAGGTAAAGCTGCTGCCTGCAATGCTGGCATTCCATATGGGTGCCAATTCGGGTCCCAGCTGTTCTGCTTCCAATCCAGCTCTCTGCTATGGCCTGGGAAAGCAGTAGCACAGGGCCCAAGTCCTTTGGCCCCTGCACTTGAGTGGGAGACCCAGAAGAAGCTCCTGGTTCCTGGCTTTGGATTGGCGCAGCTCTGGCTGTTGAGGCCAATTGGAGAGTAAAGCCACATAAAGAATAGTAGTGTTTTAATAACAATAGTTTTAAAATATTTAGAATGTAAGAAGTTTTGAACCTGTGGTAAGAGTTGGCAATATTTGCTGTCATTTAAAATAAGGAAACAGTTATTTTGGAAACCACCATCTCCTAGGGAAATTTTCTTTAACCTTGTAGTGAGTAGGTTAAACAACAAATATTTATATAGCCTTCTTATCTATATGTTAACCACTCTGGAAGGCACATTGGCCTACAGGATACAGAAAACAATACTTCTGTGGGCCAGTGTTGTGGCGGGGTTGGGGGGGGGGCGGTGAGCTGCTGCTTGTGACTGTGGTGTCCCATATGGACGCCGGTTCCTGTCCCAGGTGCTTCACTTCTGATCCAGCTTCCTGCTGAAGTACCTGGAAAAGCAGCAGAGGATGGCCCAGGTGTTTGGGCTCCTGCACCCATGTGGGAGACTGGGCAAAAGCTCCTGGCATCTGGCTTCAGTCTGGCCCAGCCCCAGCTGTTGCAGCCACTGGGGAGTGAACCAGGGATGGAAAAATCTCTCTATGCGTCTCTCTCTCTCTAACTCTGCCTTTCAAATAGATAAATTCTAAAAACAAAACAAAACAATACTTCTGTTACTGGGTGGAGAATTCCATCTTCAGAATTGCATACCATTAGTTTTAATGTCTTAAAAGAATAATTGACAGGCTCAAATGAATGTGTGTTATATGTGTAAATAATTGAGAAAGGAGTTAATTTATAGGAGCTTAGCAGAACTGAACTGCTGAGAAAGGATGGAGATTGAATGGTTGGGAAGAATGTGAACGGGCATTGCAGAATTAAACCATATACAGAATACATGTCAAATATGTATAATGTGGGATAATTATATTTTTTAAGTCTAATTTTTTTTTACTAAAGATTTATTTATTTGAAAGGCAGAATTACACACACACACACACACACACACAGAGACAGAGAGACAGAGAGAACAAGTCCAGGTTTCCCACATTGGGGCAGGGGCCCAACCACTTAGGCCGTCTTCTGCTGCTTTTCCAGGTGCATCAGCAGGGAGCTGGATCAGGAGTGAAGACAGGACTTCGTGGGCAGCCATATGGGATGCCCACGTTGCAGGCAACAGACAACCCTCTGTGCCACAGTGCTAGTCCTAATATAACATTCTCCAGGTTCATCCATGTTGTTGCAAATATTTCCTTCTTTTTAAAGGCTAAATAGTATAGAATTGTTTATAAATATTTTCTTTACTCATCCATTGCTGGGCACTTAACACTGATTCCATAGTTTGCCTGTTGTGAATAGTGCTGCAGTGATCATGGGAGTGTTGATACCTCTTTAACACAGTAATTTCATATTAATGGAATTATATAAATATTCTTTAGGATTCCCTTATTTTAGCTTAAATTTTTTTTAAAAAAGATTTATTTATGTACGTGAAAGTCAGAGTTAGAGAAAGAGAGAGAGTGAGAGAGATTTTCCATCTGCTGGTTCACTCCCCAGATGGTTGCAACAGCCACCACTGGGCCAGGGCAGAGCCAGGAGCCAGGAGCTAGGAGCTAAGAGCTTCATTTGGGTCTCCCACATGGGTGGCAGAGGCCTAAGCACTTGGACCGTCTTCTACTGCCTTTCCCAGACCATTAGCAGGGAGCTAGATTGAAAGTGGAGCATCCATGGCACCCATATGGGATGTTGGCGGCTTACCCTTCTACGCCAAAACACCAGCCCCTAGTTTAATGTTTTTAAGAGTCACCTGTCTTGGGGCCAGCTCCCTGGCTCACTTGGCTAATCCTCTGCCTGCAGCGCCGGTACTCCGGGTTCTAGTCCCAGTTGGGGTGCCGGTTCTGTCCCGGTTGCTCCTCTTCCAGGCCAGCTCTCTGCTGTGGCCAGAGAGTGCAGTGGAGGATGGCCCAAGTGCTTGGGCCCTGCACCCCATGGGAGACCAGGAGGAAGCACCTGGCTCCTGGTTTAGGATCAGCACAGCACCAGCCGTAGTGGCCATTTTGGGGGTGAACCAACGGAAGGAAGGCCTTTCTCTCTGTCTCTCTCTCTCACTGTCTATATAACTCTGCCTGTCAAATAAAAAAAAAATTCACCTGTCTTGTAACTTTACTCGTTTTCATAAATTCCATTGTATGAATAATACCAGTTTGCTTATCCACTTGCCAGCTGATGGAACAGTTGAGTTGTTTCTGTTTTTTGGCTTTTATTAATAAATGTTGCTGTGAATAATTTTTACAAGTTTTTGTGTGAACAGGTTTTTATTTCTCTTATTTACATACCTGGGAGTAAAATCGCTTGGGTCACATGGTAAATGGATGTTTAACATTTTGAAGAGTTGGCAGACTGTTTTCCAGAGTACAGAGTTGTTTAGCTAGAGGCTTGACAGAATGTTACTTGCTTAAAATTCAAGGAAACTAATAATGTAATAACTTAATGTACTGTGCTAGATTTGTCGAGTTAGATAAGAACTTATTCCTGAAGAGATAAATCGCTGCCACCAGATAAATTAGAAAGTATGCTTGCAACTTTAAAAAATATCTGTTTTCACTGTTCTCCCAAGAATTTTGTATGCGGCCTTTATGTCATGTGATAAATGAAAATATCATCAGATGAGATTTGAAATTTTATATTTATTGTAAGAATTAGAAGAAACAGGATTTTGGATGAACTTAAAGTTTTAAATAATTTTTAAAATTATAAAAGAATACATCCTTACTGCCAGAAGATATAGAATGTACAGAGAATACAATTTAAATCCTTTGTTAATCTTACTATTTTTTAAAGATTTATTTATTTATTTGAAAGTCAGAGTTACACAGAGAGAAGGAGAGGCAGAGAGAGCTCCTCCATCCACTGGTCTACTCCCTAATTGGCCACAACAGCCAGAGCTGCACCGATCCGAAGCCAGGAACCAGGAGCTTCTTCCAGGTCTCCTACATGGGTGCAGGGGCCCATCTTCCACCGCTTTCCCAGGCCACAGCAGAGAGCTGGATCGGAACTTCATATTGGATGCTAGCACTGCAGGCAGTGGCCTTACTTGCTGCGCCACAGCACCAGCCCCAAATCTTTAACTATTTTATTTATGACACCTGTTAGTGTTTTGTTCTTCTGTATATGTATTTATACATAAGCCTAGAAATAAAAACACTTTATTAAAAAAGTAAAATTGGGATCACACCAGATGTGCTTCTTTCAAGGTTATTTTTAATATAATAATATTGTTCAAGGGGCTGGCACTCTGGTGTAGTGGGTAAAGTCACCATGTATGGCTCCGGCATCCTGTATGGGCACCTGTTTGAGTCCTGGCTGTTCTACTTCCCATCCAACTCCCTGCTAATGTGCCTGGGATAGTAGCAGAGTGGGTGCTTGGGCCCCTGTACCCAAGTGGGAGACCCAGAAGAAATTCCTGGTTCTTGGCTGCAGACCAGCCCATCTTTGGCCATTGTGGCCATATGCAGAGTGAAACAACAAATGGAATATCTCTCTGTCTCTCCCTCTCTGTAACTGCCTTTAAAGTAAATAAATAAATCTTTTAAAACAATGTAATATTCAAGTGCTTAAGTATGTCAGGCACTTTCTAAGCATTTCATATGTTTGAATGCAGTTATCCTTTGCTGAAATGTAGGTGCTGTTATCCTGTACACAGAGAATTGAGACACGGTGAGGTTGAATTACTTGTGTAGGGTCATGCTGCAAATAAATGACAGTTGAGGAATTTGGATGTGCTCATGACTCTATACTTTTTGTATATGAGTCCTTGTTTGACTGTGGTTATTAGAGCAGTTTCCTAGAAGTGAATAACCAGTTTAGTATGTAGCTGATTTTGGGGGAAAAAAAATCCCTTCAAAAAAATAGCTACTGTAACTGTGACTCGAATTTTAAACAAAACCAACTTCATGTTAATGAGAAGTATCTATACATTGAAGAAAATGGTACTGGGCATTTGAAATAATGCCATTGCTTTTGAATTTTACAGATAAGCCACACAACCCTATGGTAAATGCTGGAGCAATTGTTGTGACCTCATTAATAAAGGTAAAATGTTGACATTTCCTTTTAACCTAGTAAACTTTTATAATAATCAAGGAATAAAGATGAATCTTGGATTGTTTGTAAGAACTGTGAAAAATTTTCTCTTGATATTAAGAAATTAATCTTGTATAGTGCTAGGGTTTATATTGCAGAATAAATGATGCAGTAATTTTAGGGTCAGAATTAAACACAGATGACTCATTGTAAATTCCAGTGGTTAACTGACTCTTGACCTGAAGAACTGGCAAATATTTAAAAAGAAATCTGAACAATAGGCATAGAGCTTTTGCTTCTTCAAGGTTCTGAAATTTTTACTGTCTTTTTGGTTCTTTCAGAATGAATAGATGTAAACACAATTAAAAGCATTGTACTGTATGATGCCAGCATCATATGTAGGAACAAAAGTTTTAGTACTTTGTGTTAAGACAAAGTATGTTTACCCTTGAATAGTCTCAAGTCTTTTATACTCATGAGCTGTGTTTGTTGAACTTGTTTCATTTGTTTAGATTAAATCATGCCATAATTAAAATAGAACTTATTCCAATTATTAAGTTATGTTATTTTTTTGCATTGTTGTTGTTTTTCTTTTATTGTTTGGTTTGCCTTAATAATTGGAAACTAATATTGTTTTGAAATAAGCATTTGAAAAGGGTTATATTGTGTGTTGTAAAAATCTATCACACAATTTTAAATATTTTAGATTTTTGACTTCTAATTACACATTTTTATACTAAAATAAATTTTATTTGTGTTTGGGACATTTATATACATTCTTCATTTAATTTGTGCCTACCTATTCTGTGTTGGAACAGAACATGACTATATGGCTTTGTTGATGCAGTAAGCAGGATAACCTGGTTACCACAAAGAATGTTCAAGTATAAATTGTACCCTTGGCCCAGTTCACAAAAAATTCACCTGAGTTGTATATTAGAAATATTCCCTTTCATAACTTTTATATTGCCAAGAGAAAAAACTCTTATAGAAGACTGTTGTCTTAAGAATGTATAAATTTTGTTGTTACTCTGTAAGCATTGGCCCACCTAATTCTTGTAACTAGCATCAATGAAGAAGTATAGCCAGGTGTTTTCAAATATGACTAATTTTAATAGACTGTGAAAATTTTTGTTTTTGCCATTATAACATCTAGTTGTTCATGACTTTTACATAAGAGAAAGAGGTCAATCTGAAATGAAAGAAATGATTACAGAAAATGACTGAGATTACATAGTCCTGCCTGTGGGCAGCTTTACATTATAGTATGGGACATGTTCAAGTAAATGCACCCTTACAATGAAATTCAATAAGTGCTCCAATAACTAAGTTTTACACAAGCAACTTAAATTAGAATTAAGGAAAATTATTTTATACAATGTGTGTATTAATGCTTGATGAGACAAACCCTGGGATGGTTCTGAATCTTTTTGGATCCTCCCAGAAGAATGTCTACGTACCATGATTTTACACAAAACTTTTAAGGGTTTCATAGACCCTTTGAAGGTGATAGCTAGATCCCAGTTTAAGAATTCTTACACTAGAGAAGGATTAACAAGGCACACCAATAGTATTAAAAAAAAGCATATGTAAATTATTAATAGGGGATTTCCTTAACAGCATGCAGTTAAAAGACCTTGTGTAATGATACGTAGGTTTAAAGACTGTGCTGAAATATTGCATGTGGAAATTGCATGTCTGCTTGTATCACACAGTCATTTCATTAGTTTCACTTATCATTTTCAGTTAAAAGTCATTAACTGTACATGGAGCCACATTAGTGTGAGCAATTAGAAACAGTTAAAACACATTCAGTGTAAATGTGGTTCAGTGTCCAATTGTGAAAAATTTAACTGAGTCATCTTGTATTTACAAATTTGATTAGTGATTTTAATTTATAAAAAATTTAAATTTACTGACAAAGTTGGACATAGGCTTTGTGATGTGGATCATAATTAAGGTCACTTTAAGTTCTTTTTTTTTTAAATGTGTCTCACTAGTACTATTTGTTTTTAAATGAAATTTATATAGATCTTAGATGGAGAAGCCTAAAATTACCCTATGTAAGATTGACTGCTCTAGAATATGCAACTTCTCTGAAGATCTTTTTAAGAATGAATTCAAAACATACAAATAAATACCTGTATGTGATTAATCTCTGCAAATTGTGTAATTACATAATATTTATAAATTGATAATGATTTGAAATTGAAAAAATTGTCAAGCCCAGCCTACTTACTTGTAGATCTAAGGAACCTGAGACTGGGTAGGTTGTAACAGCAACAGAAATGGGCTTGAACTGAATCTAGTAGACTTTGCTGTTCATTAGAATTGACTCTGCCATATTTAATGTAGGCATTTGCTGTTTTCTCCTGATGACTTTTTTTTTTAAAATTCTAAGTAACATCATTATACATAAAAAGTAGAAATGCTTTTAGCTTATGTAAAAGATACCAATTCATGTGGCTTGTATTTTGGTGAATGTGTGTAGTCAATGTCTGCTCTCTGTAAGGATAACAAGTCCCTTACCAAAGAGCCTGCATAGATACTTTACTATGAGTGCTAGATGTAAATTCTGTTTTCAGCTCTTTCAGGTGATGACTGTAAGGGTAAAGGGTATTTGTGATTTTTTTTTAATTCAAAAATCAGGATTTTATTATGGTACCATAAAAACAATTTTCTTTATGTTATTCCCCCCTAAAAAATTAAATAGAGTCTTTAGTGAGACTCTTTACTTCATAATTTTGTAGTATTGATATTTTTTCCTTGTAGGATTGATGGTGATCCTCAGGAAATGGGGGAAGAGGCAGAGCAAATGTTCAAAAGGATTAGCAGATTGTGGAAAAAAAGGAGGATTTGGACAGAAGGAACGTGTTGCATAAATTCTTAACTACTAAGCTTATAGGAAAACTCCAATATTTAAAATTTTAATCAAAGCTATATAGGTAAATACCTTTTTAAAACAAAATGTCATTTTATACTTAAAATGCACATAATTAAAAAACATAAAGGTTACTATACTTCCTCTCTTTTCTTTATGGGAGCTACTAATTTTAAAGGAATACTTTTTGTTGCAGTCTGTTTTATTTGATGATGATAATGTGTGATTGCCTGATTTAGAGGAAAGAATAAATTTGAAAGGAGCACAGTTACATCTAGGTGAAATAGCAGTATCCTTGTATAATTTTGTTTTGTCTTTTCAATGGTAAAAATTTCACCTAGCTTTAGTTTAAAAGTTAAGAACTGGTGTAACTTGAGGTTTAGGGTGGGAAATTGAGAACATACTTCACATCTTGCTTTTTTATTTTAGAAATAGAAAGCTATACTGTATTCTGTATTTGTATGTCTTTAGTGAGACATACCAGTTTTTGGTCATTTGAAGAAGTTGAATTTTTAAAAAATATCAGAAGTGTTTTTTATTTTAAGAAATGCGGTTTGCTCGTTAAACAATGTAATCATGGTCCATGAAAATCAAGACAAGTTTAGTTAGTGTTTTTGTAATGCTCCATTTTATCATCAATAACCTGTTAGATTTATTTTTAAGCCACATTTTTAAGGTGGTTTGTGACTCTGGGGAGTAACGAATGATATCTTGGACTTGGTAATGTTCCGAAGACACAGGTGGTCTATTTACTTCATGTTTGTATCAGTTGGTGCATTTGAGATCTTTTTAAAAATGAAAGGTAGATTATTTATTGACAGCTGAATTCAGAGTTATGGTGCTTTATTTATAGGATTAATTTATGGGAATACTAGGTTCAGAAAATTTTTTTTTTACCTGGAATGTCTATTTTTAATTTTAATTGGCTTGTACTCACTTCATGAAATCAAATGAGTTATGAAATAACATTAATGCATTGCCTTTATATTAAAGTTATTGAAAGATATGTTAACAGTGATGTTTTCATCTTTTATAATATATAAAACATGAACAGTTCATGAGTATGTTATCAAACAGGGTCAAACACTCCAATATAGTTAGATTAATTCTTTTACTAGACTCTTAAAACTTAGTGCCTCTTTATCAAATTTTCATTCATAAAATTTTCTTAAATATATGAATTCTATAACTGATAGATATGTTTATTGAAAAATAAAAGTATCATTTCCTGGTGTCTGGATCTGACTGCACTTTCAAAACGAACAACATGGTTACTCTTAAAAGTTGTTTGGTGAATTGATTTGAAATTTCAGCAAATATATTTTGTCCAATTTAGTTTCTTTAAAAAGTGTTTGGTGTTTGCTATAAATTATTGTAACTTTTTAAAAATTAAAATGATATCTAATAATGCTTGTCCTCTTCAAACAGAGGTAATTGTACCCCTGCATATATGAGTTCTTTCCTAGGGATAAAGGGGCATTGATAGTTTGAAGACAACCAATTCCAGGTGATTTCCATAAATGCCTTTCTTAAAATTAATCTCCCTTTGACTGAGTGTCCTTCTGTTTCCCAAAAGAAAGGCATGCTTTTTTTTGTGTCCCAGTTTTTTGTTACAATGCACTGCCTTTTTATTATTATTATTATTATTATTATTATTAAAAGGCAGAGTTACCAAGAGGCAAAGGCAGAGGCAGGAAGAGAGAGGTTTTCCATCCTCTGGTTCACTCTCCAAATGGCTGCAATGGTTGGAGCTGGGCTGATCCTAAGCCAGGAGCCAGAAGCTTCTTCTGTGTCTCCCATGCGGATGCAGAGCCCCAAGCACTTGGGCCATCTTCTGCTTTCCCAGGCCATAGCAGAGAAGCTGGATTGGAAGTGGAGCAGCCAGCACACGAATCCCATATGGGATGCTGGCACTGCAGGTGGTGGCTTTACCCACTACATCATAGCACTGGCCCCAGGGTGTACTTCTTAGACTTGTTAAAACCTGTTGGGCACCAGCAGAAGAGAACAATTTGAAATACTGAAGTCAGTAGTATATAAGATGTGAATCATTGTAATGATTGATAATAAGTCCTGTTGGCTCCTCAGTTGTTTTAGTTCTTTGGTTTCAAGACAACTGCAAGAGGATTAAGGCAATTGTCATTCAATAAGAGGATTAGTGTAATTTGTGAGGAAAGATGACTATATGACTTTTGGCATGTAATGAGATTAAGGCATGTAAAAAAACTAAATGGTATTGCTGTAACCAAACTCTTTTTTGACTTCTTATCTGTTGAAAGCAAGATTTCTTAAGTCAGATATCTGTAAAACTTAAAAAATTAAAAATAGAAAGGGAATATATCCCTATCTCATTCTACCAATGGAAAAATATCCACTAATACATTAACTAAAGATCAATTACTGTTTGAAGGAGGAAAGAAAATATTCAAAGCAGAATAATCTTGTACTATGGGAGATTATTAGCAAATAACATTTTCCTTAAACTTTTTACAATAAAAATTCAAAAATATACGAAATAGAATGGAATAACCAGCCCCCATATCCCTGTTTTCAGCTTTAATTTTTGTAACATCTGTTCCTCCTCTGTAGTGCTTATGATTGGTTTTCTAGTGTAAGTGTGTGTTTTCCTAAGATCTTTTTTTTCTTAAGATCTTTTAAAAATCATTTTTACAATTAAAATAACATGATATCTTAATGATTATTAGACTCTATGTGTTCCTGGGGAACATGAAATATTTCTAAGAGATAAAAGTGCAAATATATTTTATTGAGTTAGGTTAAATGCCATTTCCACAGTAGATAATAACAACAAACATTAAGCAAATGCCTTTACATTTAGATGATGAAGTTTTGGGTAGAGACATTCTTGAGTCAATATAGTCATTCAGTATTTTATTTTACCCTATTCACATAATTTTCCCAGGGTGTTTCAACTAGCTTACAGAAAATATATAGTAATAGACATTAGTAGATATCAGTGTTTCTTAAAAATAACATAAAAACAAAACTTAATTGTGCTTTGATTTACTAAGCCACAAAATATATCAATTATGTGACCACAGTCTAGAGTTGAAATTGTTTTTATTGTTTTATATTAAACATGACAGTTCAATATAGAAACTTGTGTTAGTTTTATAGTATACTGTTTAGGTCAAAGAATGAAAGTTTGACATTAATTGTTTAATCAGTATTTCCATGTGACATCCCAATGCAAATGCTGACAATCCTTTTCCAAAGAGTCGGGATTTTTGTGCTTTTTTTTCCTAAGGTTAAAAAGGTTTTTGTGGCTTAAATGTTGTTACATATTTTACAGCATTAGGATCTATGGAATATTTTGACAACTGCAACAGTTCAATGAAGTTGGTAATTTCTTCTTTTAATTATTTTTCATTGAACAGCTTTGGAGTTTCATTTCTACATTTTGATTTCTGGTATATATAAGAAAAGAAAAAACGTGTCAAAGGATGCTTTAAAGAAAAGACAAATAAGGATTATAATCTGGCTGTAGTTAAATTATACTTATTTTGTTTAAGTTTCGTTAATGCCTAAATTTGATTAAATAATGTGGTGTTCCTTCCAGCAACTGATTATATATGTATGACTGTATATGTTTGTAGAGTTTGATACATTATCAACCATATGCTTATTTTGTAGAGTGGAGAATGAATCTGGCTTTTATTCAGTTAAATAATACTCTGGTAGAGATTCCCCCTTCCTCCACCCCATAATAACATTTTAAAATTTGTATCAGATATTTTTTGAGGGTAAAGTTAAAAAATATGTTTTTAAAACATTAGTTGTCAAATTATTTTAAGCTGTTTTAGAAATTAGAGATGTATTGTTTCTGTTGGGTGCATATCACCAATTAATACGTTTGATTTCAGATCTACCACTTACTGCTTTGTAAACTTCGCCGAGGTAAAATGAAGCCATTTGGCTACTTGAACTGATCTATGTTACATAGGTTTTTCCTATTGACATTTGCAATAGATAACATGCCAGAACTAGAAGTGATGAAACAATACATCTTCCATATTCTGAATTGGCATAATGCTAAATATTGTATGAAAAATAATTTTTTTCAGTTGAAGTATTGTTACAATCAATGAGAGATATTTAGGGTAAAGCTTTCTCCACATTAGTAAAATGTATCCAGAATGTTTGTGTATCCTAGAATTATGAAAGATTAGTTTTTGCAACATAACTCATTTTTCTAACTCTAATATTGGTTTAAGGTTTTTATGATGAAAAATTATGATTTATATATACTGAATTTTTTTTAAGAATGAAATAATTTTTTAAATTTGAAATTAAATAAATGTATATTATAGCAGACTAAGTACACTCATGGAAGATAAGGGGTTTTAAGGGTAATTTGTATTTAAAATTCTGTAGTTTTGGGTTGGGTGTAAAGATATGCTTAGAATAAAGCATTCTCTGTAGTTCTGATCCATTCTCAACATATAGGTGTTAAAGAACATGCAAAATTTAAATATAAAATTATTTTAGAAGTATTTCATAGATTTGATAGTACAATACAATATTTTAATTATAATGGTAGCTATTTGAAATTTTAATATTACTTAGTTTAATACTTAACTGTGGTGGTACCTATATTAACATATTTCTATTTCTTATTTCTCTGCAGCAAGGAGTAAATAATGCTGAAAAATTTGACTATGTAAGTGCAACATAGCATACAGTTATCATGCTACATTCCTTACATGTTTGTTTTTTCATTTACTAATGCTTCTTAATTTTGGTTATAGGTGATGCAGTTTTTGAATAAGATGGCTGGTAACGAATATGTTGGATTCAGTAATGCAACGTGAGTCTGATTTATGATTTATGTTTTTATAGTTGGTCAGGCCTCTTTCATAAAAAACGTCAAAAGAATTTTATTTTAAATACTGTTTTGCTACTTCGTACGTACAAGTATATGTGCATGCACGTGTCAGTGTTTTTGTACTATATTTTGAATTTATTTGCTAATTTTTATAGGTACCAGGACTTTAGTGAATAATTAATGGGAAATGGATGATTTCTAAATTACTGAACAGAGTACTTAACATATTATCTGGATTTAATAAAATGGTATAAATAATCATAGAAGCAGAAGGACTTCCAAGTTAGCCTCAAGTTACTGGCACTTACTCAGTTTTCTCTTTGCCTATAACACCTGTTTTACCTCTCATATCTGTTTTTAGCTAACATGATTTTTACCCCAATTTTTTGTTTGAAATTTGCCAGACTACAGAATAGTTGAGAGAACAAATATCCAGTGTCTTGTACTTATATTCTGTGATTAATATTTTACCTCATTTTCTTTTTGTCAGCCTGTGTCTTTAGATAAAAACAGATGTGTGTATCTCTGAATTCACATAAATGTAAATCTATACATATGTAGATTTTATTTTTCAATAGTATTCTTTTTGTAAAGATTTTATTTATTTATTTGAGAGGTAGAGTTACAGACAGTGAGAGGGAGAGACAGAGAGAATGGTCTTCCTTTTGTTGATTCGCTCCCCAAATGGCTGCAACGGCTGGATCTGTGCTGAACCAAAGCCAGGAGGCAGGTGCTTCTTCCAGGTGTCCCATGCAGGTGCAGGGCCCCAAGGACTTGGGCCATCTTCCACTGTTTTCCTAGGCCATAGCTAGAGCTGGATTGGAAGAGGAGCAGCCGGGACTACAACCGGCACCCATATAGGATGTCGACATCGCAGGCAGAGGATCAACCTACTGTGCCACAGCGCCAGCCCCCATAGATTTTATTTTTGCTGAACTCTTTGAAATTGAGTAGTAGACATCATTACATCTACCCTTAGATCATTCTGCAACATTCTCCTAGGTGACACAATACCATTAGCACACTTAGGAAAAAACATTAATTTTAAAATATGACATTAACCAATTTGTGAATGTTCCCAATTATCCCCTATATGTCTTTCTTTTTATACTGCTTTTATTATTTTTTAAATTGAGCTAATTGGAGTTTGTATGTTTTTCATTGTAATTGTGACTCTTTTGTCTCTCTCTCTCTGTTTTTTTTTTTTTTATATCCTGCTTCTACTTCTTTATTGACAAGCAGAGTGGACAGTGAGAGAGAGAGACAGAGAGAAAGGTCTTCCTTTTTTTCCATTGGTTCACCCTCCAATGGTCGCCACGGCCGGCGCACCGCACTGATCTGAAGCCAGAAGCCAGGTGCTTCTCCTGGTCTCCCATGCAGGTGCAGGGCCCAAACACTTGGGCCATCCTCCACTGCACTTCCTGGCCACAGCAGAGAGCTGGCCTGGAAGAGGGGCAACCGGGACAGAAACCGGCGCCCCGACCGGAACTAGAACCCGGGGTGCCGGCACTGCAAGACAGAGGATTAGCCTATTGAGCCGCGGTGCCAGCCTGTTTTGTCTCTTTAAGGCAGAATATTTTCCATGTTTTAGAGTCTTGATTTTTAAAATGTCTGTTAAAGTTTTGTTTGTTTGTTTTCTTTGAAGGCTGCCAGTCTCTTGTTTTATAGAGCAGGGATTCACTGACTCCTTTCTTTGACGAACCACACAATAACTGTTTGGGCTTTTGGGCTATATAGTCTCTTTGCAATTGTTCATTTCTCCTATTTTAGCAGGAAATGAGCCATAGACAATCTAAGGCTGTGTTTCAGAAACACTTTATTTATTAATTAAAATGGGAAGCAGACTGGATCTGTACATAGGCTTTATGGATATTTGGCATTTTTAGTTTATTTGATTGTTTCCTTGTTACCTTGTGATTAGAAAAATGTTAAACAGTTTTAGCATAAATATTAATCTTTTTATTTCTATTTTGTCCTCACTGATTCACATCTCAGGGGCAGATACTTTTAGGTGTATGCCTTACCAACATTAGTTCATCAGTGTAAAGCATCTTTACCAGGATTCTGTGAATTTCATCTTTACGCTCCAAGAAATTAAACTCCATATTTTGACCACATTGAAAATGTTTTCTGTGCTCTCAATGTTTTATTGAACTTAATCTTTCTCTGTCCTGTCACCACTATTGAACTCTGACCTCCTCAAGACTTGCATAGAGTGTTTTGTCTTCCAGTTCATTTCTGTATCCCTCTTCTTGGATAAATAATAGAAAGTAGAGTTTGAATTTAGCTATGTGCCATGCACTATGGTTATTTCTGAGTAAAGTTAATCCTTTGTGTGTAGTGCTTTTTTTTTTTTTTTTAAAGAATGTATGGCAAGTTAATCAGGATTTTTCTTTATTCAGTATTCTGACCATTGAAATGTTACGATGTACAGCTAGAATCTGCTATCCCTTTCAGCAATACGGAGAGTGTCATCCTCAGTTCCTTTGCTGTCAACAACCTTTTGGACCCTCTCTTCTAGGTCGATTTCTCAAACATAGTTAAATCAAAACGCAGTCTCTTTCTTCTCAAACAGCTCCTTGCTCTACTCTCTGCATCAGTAAATATTTTTTTTTTAAAGATTTATTTATTTATTTGAAAGTCAGAGTTATACAGAGAGAGAAGGAGAGGCAGAGAGAACAAGAGTGATCTTCCATCCACTGGTTCACTCTCCAAGGCCGCAATGGCCAGAGCTGTGCTGATCCGAAGCCAGGAGCGAGGAGCTTCTTCTGGGTCTCCCACACCGGTACAGAAGCCCAAGGACTTGGCCCATCCTCCACTGCTCTCCCAGGCACAGCAGAGAGCTGGATCAGAAGAGGAGCAGCCGGGACTCGAACTGGCGCCCACATGGGATGCCGGCACTGCAGGCAGAGGCTCTACCCGCTAGGCCACAGCGCCGGCCCCTGCATCAGTAAATATTATCCTCTTAGTAGGCAATGTTGAAATCCAGGCTCAGTATCAGACTTCACTCTCCCTCTCCTCTTATCAGATTGGCAGTTTATCCAGCCACTCTCATTGGATCATATTCTTCCTCTCCACTGCCTAAATTCAGGCTTTCTGCAGCTCTCATAGTAGTTTCCTACTACATCACTCACTCATCCTTTTTCTTTCTCTTTCCCAAACTGATATCAGAGTTATCCATCTAAACTGTTGATCTGACATGGCAACTTGTTTGAAAGTCTTAGGCTTTTGCTTTGTGAACAGTTGGAAGTCATTATGTTCTTTGATGTTTACTGGTCTTGATAATTTGGTCTCTGTCGCTCCCCCTCTTCATGGAGGAACGACACTAAACCCTGCCTAGGCTTCCTATCCGAGTCACAGCACCATTATGTCACTCCCCGTCTTCGTGGAGGAACGACACAGGACCCTGCGCTGTTCTTTTGTCTGCTCGGCCCTCCCCGGGTTTGCTGCTGGTTCTTCCCGGGTTGGCTACTGTCCCTTCCACCTCCGTGGAAGGGCGGTTCCCCCTGCCACTTCCCCCACTTCCGCAGGGGAGCGGCACACCGCCGGCCGGCTCTCTCGGGGGCTGCACAGGTGTTCCTCTTAGATGTTCCCTGGTGCATGTTGTCTCTCTCCTCCTTTATAGTCCTCTTCCACCAATCCCAACTCTGCTACCCACACACCAAGTACGCTGCTCTCCTCCAATCAGGAGCAGGTCCTACAGTTTATTGGTTGAACTGGAGGCAGCTGTGTAGAAGCTGTTTCCTCCTCTCCCATATTGTGGGAGAGCAGATGCATAGAATAAGTCTTAATTCCAGTAACTTAGTCTAGTCCGAGTTGCTCCCAGTTGCTCCCCACAGTCTCCTTTGCTAGTTTGGTATTTCTCTACTCCTTTCCCTGTACCCTGTTCATAGCTACTTCAGAATATTTGCCTAACTCTAACCCTAAGTTTTTTTACTTCCTTTTTCTTTTTTAATTATTCTACACTTTTTCTGGAGACATTTTGCCGTATTCACTTAAAATGTAGACATTTCTTGGAAACAGATAATTATAATAGATGAGGGATTCATGACAATGATCATATTGTGGGGAAAAAACGAGTATATTGTCATTTACATAGTATGATTCAGAGATACTGGATGATGTGACATCCACATAATTTTTATGCTCACTGTATATATTAACATCCAAAATTAAAGAAAATGTGATACTTGCCTTTCTGATTCTTAGTTCACTTAGCATAATGATCTTCGAGGAGTTTAGCCATTTTGTTGCAGATGTTAGGATTTCATTAAATTTTTTATGGCTGAGTAATGCTCCATTGTGTATGTATGCCACATTTTCTTTATCCAGTCATCAGTTGGTAGATATCTAGGGTGATTCTATATCTTAGCTATTGTGAATTGAGCTGCTGTATATATGGGAGTGCAGGTACCTGTTTCATATGCTGACTTCACTTTCTTTGAACAGATCTATCATATGACCCAGGGCCATGTAACTAGCCTGTTGATCAAACTGAGAACAGAACTCAGCAGTCTTTGACTCTTAGTTAAATGTTGTTAGTATAAAGAACAAAGTAGACTAAAGAATAATCACGCTTTTACAGAATGTAAATTAATAGAGCAAATGGTTGTTTTTTTTTTTTTCTTTTTTCATTTCTAGGTTTCAGTCTGAAAGAGAAAGTGGTGATCGAAATTTTGCCATAGGATACTACTTAAAAGAAAAGAAGGTTTTTAAATTTTTGTTTCTATTTCAAATTATCTTTTTTTAATGAAGTAAATAAAGATGTATGTTGAAGTTAACAGCCTTTAAGCAACTGCCTATTACTGCTTAAGGTGCAGGAGTGTCTGCAGAATAACTCTTGAACCAGTGTTGTAAAATTGTTAATGTTATTGTTAAGTTGATTTGTGCCTGACATTATTTAAATATTCTACTAGTTATATTAATGCAAATTCTGCCTGAGGCTTAGTATACCTTTTAAAAAATACAATGCTTGATTAGTGTTGATAAGCCTTGATATTTTTAAGTGGCTGATATAATAATTTATAAATAAATTTATAAATTTTGATTCAGTTTGTCATTGTCAGTTAAACTGTATCTAGAAATTCATATGATGTGATACAATTTAGCTTTATTGTTCTTTATTTCATGTATATACTATTTTACTGGTTACATGCTGTTTGGTTAATTGAAATGAAACATTTCCCACATTATTAATTTAGTCTTCTCATTCATATTCTTTTACTAATGTGCTTTTTTCCCCCCTCTCTGTGCCTATATTTTTAATTGCCTTTCTGGTTTGTTTTTTTTTTTTTCAGTGTTTTCCAGAAGGCACAGACATGGTTGGTATATTAGACTTCTATTTCCAGGTAATTTACTTTAACTGTTTTTTTTTTTTTGCCAAATATAGATGTCTCTAAAATCTTGACTATAGACCATGAAGAAATACATTTTCCTTTTGCTTAAAAAAAAAAAGTCTTAATGAAAGACATGTCTGTATCTCCTAACAACTCATGCCTCAGAATGTAATAGGTGAAAAAAATTTTTCTGCAAACATTATTACATTAAATAAGTGACATGCCATTCCAGAAATTCTCTTGATTGTAAACTGAACTGTTTTCTTAGCTCTTAAATTTTGTTTGGGAAAAGCTATTTGTTTCTTGTATCAGAGGATTCCTATTTTGACTTTAAAGTATCGGTTTCTCAGCTGTTTTGTTCTTTTTGTAATCTTTGTTATCATTCTATCCTGGCTTAATTGGTGCCAGGAGAATAATTGTTTAGTTCATTTCTGTAGTGTCACTTGTTGAATTTTCTTCTAAGTTAGAGAAGTTGTCCATATTTGGCAGTTGGGGGTACTGTGCACAATCTGTTGTGGTATGGATCTCAACAGAAGGTGTAGCCCTCCTAAAGGTCCTGCCCCTTTACCCATATATTTTTTTAAGATTTTATTTATTTATTTGAGAGGCAGAGTTACAGAGAGAAGGGAGACAGAGAGGTCTTCCATCCGCCAGTTCACTCCCCAAATGTTCTCAACAGGCAGAGCTGGGCTGATTTGAAGCCAGGAACCAGGACCTTCTTTGGGTCTCCCACATGGGGTGCAGGATCCCAAGCACTTAGGCCATATTCCACTGCTTTCCCAGGCCATAGCAGAGAGCTGGATTGGAAGTGGAGCAGCCGGGACTTGAACTGGCACCCATATGGGATGCCGGCACTGCAGGTGGAGGCTTAACCTACTGTGACACAGCGCTGACCCCACCCATATTTTCAGTTCATTCTATTTTTGGTTCCACTGGGGTGGTAATGTGAAGCTACATATTTGGCTACATGATTGATATATAATTTATCTTTGTAGCTGCCTGCCTGCACTTTTTAAAGAATTTTTATTTATTTGTTTTATTTATTTGAAAGGCAGAGGAACAGACAGAAATCACCTATCTGCTGTTTTACTCTCCAGATGCCCTCAACAGCTAGGGCTGGCCCTGGCTTGAAGGCAGGGGCCTGGAAGTCAGTTCAGGTTTTCCACATTTGTGGCAAGGACTTAACTGCTTGAGCTGTCACATGTTGCCTCCCAGCATGTGAATTAGCAAGAAGCTAGAATCTGGAATGGAGTGGGACTAGAACCCAGGCACACTATATATGGGATGCTGGTATCCCAAGTGGAGTCTTAACCTGTATGCCAAATACCTACCCCTTTCTTTACTTTTGAAAGTGCTTCAATTTGTAACCTTGCATGAATCACATAGAACGTATAAGGGAAGTAGATAATGGAGTAATTTTGATGGAAGTCCATGTCTTAGTGTGTCATCTGCCCAGTGTGCAAAACCATGACTTAGGGGGCCAGCATTGTGACACAGCAAGTCAATCTGCTACCTGAGCTGCCAGCATCCCATATAGGTGCTGGTTCATGTCCCGGCTGTTCCACTTCTGATCCAGCTCCCTGCTAATGTGCCTGAGAAGGCAGCAGAAATTGGCCTAATTGCTTGGGCCCCTGTCACCCATATGGGATATCTGGAAGAAGCTCCTGGCTCCTGGCTTTGACCTGGCCTAGCCCCAGCTCTTAGAACCATTTGTGTGTAACTGTGACAATCAAATAAATAAAATCCTTAAAAACAAAAAAATGTGAATTGAATTCTATCAATATAAAATTCAAGGTTTAGCCTGCCCTCTTAACTAACCATTGACCTAATTTGAGCTACTGAGCCCAAGTTTCATTATAGCATTACCTGATTGGCTTGATTTATTACATTGTAAATAACATCAGATGTTGGTGTAAAATTCTTTGCAAACATAAATGAAATATAGTATAATTTTTACTTTTTTATCCAACAATCTTTGTTTCCTTAGCTTATATTAATTTTTTCCGTAAGTTAGATTTTCTTTTTCTTTTTTTTTTTTTAAAGATTTATTTATTTATTTGAAAATCAAAGTTACACAGAGAGAGGAGAGGCAGAGAGAGAGAGAAAGAGAGAGGTCTTCCATCCGATAGTTCACTCCCCCTATGGCTGCAACGGCTGGAGCTGCGCCAGTCCGGAGGCAGGAGCCAGGAGCTTCTTCTGGGTCTTCCATGCGGGTACAGGGGTCCAAGGACTTGGGCTATCTTCCACTGCTTTCCCAGGCCATAGCAGAGAGCTGGATGGGAAGTAGAGCATCCATGAATAGAACCAGTACCCATTTGGGATGCCAGCACTTTAGTCCAGAGTGTTAACCCGCTGCACCACAGCACCAGCCCCAAGTTAGATTTTTCTTTTCCTTTAGAATACAGTTTTAACTTAGTGTATTGGGGCCTAGGTTATGTTAATCTACTGAAATTTATAATCTTCAGTGGAAAAAGCAAGAGCTACACATAGAGTCTTTACTTTTTTGGAGAAGAGCTGCAACTTATTGACCATTTATCAGTTTATCGAGATAGTCCTCTTAAATTGGCATTTGGGAATTTTCATTGTAGATATCTTTCTCTTTGGTTAAATATATTCCTTTTTTTTTTTTTTTTTTTTGACAGGCAGAGTGGACAGTGAGAGAGAGAGACAGAGAGAAAGGTCTTCCTTTGCTGTTGGTTCACCCTCCAATTGCTGCCGCGGCTGGCGCGCTGCAGCCGGCGCACCGCGCTGATCCGATGGCAGGAGCCAGGTACTTCTCCTGGTCTCCCATGGGGTGCAGGGCCCAAGTACTTGGGCCATCCCTCCACTGCACTCCCTGGCCACAGCAGAGAGCTGGCCTGGAAGAGGGGCAACCGGGACAGAATCCGGTGCCCCGACCAGGACTAGAACCCGGTGTGCTGGCGCTGCAAGGCGGAGGATTAGCCTAGTGAGCCACGGCGCTGGCCTAAATATATTCCTATATTTGATTTTTTGTATGTGACTATTGTGAATGAGAGTTTCTTGATTTCTCTTTCAGTGAATTCATTATTAGCATACAAAGAAAATATTATTTTCTATGTTTATTTAATAACCTGCTTACCAACTCTGACAGCTTTTTGGTTTAGTGTTTAGGTTTTCCTATTTATATCATCATGTCATCTGCAGTCATGGGTAATTTAACTTCCTCTTTTCCCATTTTGATGCCCTTTCTTTCTTTATCCTCCCTAATTGCTCTTGCTAAAACTTGGAATACTAAATTGAGTAAGAGTGGTGAAACTGCACATCCTCGTCTTATTCCAGTTTTGAGGGAAAATGCTTTCAGCTTTTTCCCATGCAGTATAATGTTGGCTATTGCTTTGTCCTGTATAGCCTTTATAATTTTTAAAATGATTTAGTTATTTGAAAGGCAAAGTTAGAGGCAAAGAGAGACAGAGACACACACACAGAGAGAGAAAGAGAGAGAGAGAGAGAGAGAGAGAGAGAGAGAGAGAGATCAGTCTTCCATCTGCTGGTTCACTCCCCAAGTGGCTGCAATAGCCGGAGCTGGGCCAGGCTGAAGCCAGGAGCCAGGAGCTTCTTTCTGGTCTCCCATGTGGGCACAGGGGCCCAAGGGCTTGGACCATCTTACACTGCTTTCCCAGGCACATTAGCAGGGAGCTAGATCAGAAGTGGAGTAGCTGGGACTTGAACTGGTGTCCATATGGGATGCCGGTACTGCAGTCTGCAGCTTTACCAGCTATGCCACAGCACTGGGTATAATTGTAATTTTGTGGTATGTTGCTTCTATACCTACTGTGTGAAGATTTTCTTTTTTATCATGAAAGGAGTATTGAATCATTAAATACTTTCTTTGCATCTATTAAGGTGACCATATGTTTTTTTATTCCATTGATGTGATTTATAACATTTACTGATTTGCAAATGTTGAACCATCCTTGCATTTCTTGGATAAATCCCACTTAATCATGATGTATGATCTTTTTCTTGTGGTTTTAGATACAGTTTGCTAGTGTTTTATTGAGAATCTTTGCCTCTATATTCATTAAGGATACAAGTTTAGGGCCGGCGCCGCGGCTCACTAGGCTAATCCTCCACCTTGTGGCACCAGCACACCGGGTTCTAGTCCTGGTCGGGGCACCGGATTCTGTCCCGGTTGCCCCTCTTCCAGGCCAGCTCTCTGCTGTGGCCAGGGAGTGCAGTGGAGGATGGCCCAAGTACTTGGGCCCTGCACCCCATGGGAGACCAGGAGAAGTACCTGGCTCCTGCCATCGGATCAGCACGGTGCGCCTGCTGCAGCGCGCCAGCCGCGGCAGCAATTGGAGGGTGAACCAACGGCAAAGGAAGACCTTTCTCTCTGTCTCTCTCTCTCACTGTCCACTCTGCCTGTCAAAAAAAAAAAAAGATACAAGTTTATAGTTTTCTTTTTTATCATGCCTTTGGTTTTTGTATCAAAATGATGATGGTCTCATAAAAAGAAATTGGCAGAGTTCCATCCTGTTCAGTATTTCGGGATAGTTTGCAAAGTATTAGAGTTACTTCCTCTTTGAATGTTTTGTAGAATTCCATAGTAAAGCCATCAGATCCTGGACTTTTGCTGGATAAACGATTTTGATTACTGCTTCAGTTTCTTGTTATGGGTCTGTTTAGATTGTCTGTATCTTAATTTGTCATTTGGGGATGGATGTTGTGGCACAGCAGGTTTGAGTGCCACTTAGGATACTTGCATCCCACATCAGAGTGCTGGTCTGAGTTTTGGTACGTAAGCTTCTGATCCATTTTCTTAGTGATACATTCTGGGAGGCAGCAGACCATAGCTCAGTTGATTGGGCCTCTGCCACCCATGTGGGAGACTAGGGTGGAGTTCCTATCTGCTGGCCTCAGCCTGTCCCAGTCCTGGCAGTTGTGGACATTTAAAAAGTGAACCAGGGGGCCGGCGCTGTGGCGCAGTGGGTTAATGCCCTGGCCTAAAGCGCCGGCATTCCGTGTGGCCACCGGTTCGAGTCCCAGCTGCTCCGCTTCCTATCCAGCTCTCTGCTATGGCCTGGGAAAGCAGTAGAGGATGGCCCACGTCCTTGGGCCCCGCACCCACTTGGGAGACCTGGAAGAAGCTCCTGGCTCCTGGCTTCGGATTGGCACAGCTCCGGCCATTGCAGCCAATTGGAGAGTGAACCAGCAGATGAAAGACACCTCTCTCTCTCTCTCTCTCTCTCTATATATATATATATATCTCTATCTCTATCTCTGCCTCTCCTCTCTCTGTGTAACTCTGACTTTCAAATAAATAAATAAATCTTAAAAAAAAAAAAAAAGAGTGAGCCAGGAGATGTAAGATCGATCTCTCTCTTTTCTCTTTTTCTCTGTCTCCCTATCTCTCCATCACTGTGCCTGTCAAGTAGATGAAAAATAATTTCTAAAAAGTTGGCTTTCCTAAAAATAGTATGTTACTTTATGGCAATAAACAAAATTCTGGCTAACATGACATATCAATTAGGAAATAATCATTGGAATTTAAATTATTTCTTTTAGAAAGCTTTTCATGATTAAAAAGCATTTTCATAATTATTTTTACCTGAGGTATATAGTAGGTATATTCTGTAGTTTTATGGAAATAGAGAAGATATTTTAATATGAATGGGCATCTGTGAAAGTTGATCAAGAGGTGACTCCCAGTCATAGCCCATAGGATTCTAATTCATTGTGCTCAGTTTTTCTTTTTGCATTTGCAAACTCCTCTATCCCTCTTGTAGGTCTTTGGGTATGATTGTGGATTGTTTACAAGTCTCCTCCTACTACTTTCTCTTTATTTTCCCTCTCCCTGAAGTTTTGGTTGCTGTTAATTAAAAATAAATGTGGAAGAATTTATTATTTTAGTTTTATGGGTAAATTGATCTTGGTATGGCAAACTATTTCCATTATTTTGATTATATTCAAATGCAAACAAACAGTTTCAGCTTTGAGTAACTGGGCTTTTGTCTTTACATACGTCGTGGAATAGTCATTGCATTTAGTGAATGTCAAACAAATATTAATAAATGCTCTAAAAGATAAATTATAGTTTAGGCCCAGAGAGCTTCCAAGCTTAGTGAGCTGTCAGGTTTTTTCTTCCATTTTGTTCTTTGCATGTTTCTGTATATGTGGGGATGCTGAGCTTTGGCTACAGGTAAAATGTCAGGCTTTTAACATTGTTATTTCTGAAGTGGTAATTTCTCATAGTGATAGTGTCATAAATGCTGAATTATACTGCTTTACCTTAAGAAATGTATGTTATGGCTTCTTTTTTTCTATTGAGTTCAAAATAATTATGCTTGTATATTCACCAGAAGTATTATTATTTAAGTAATTCAAATATACCATGAACCAATAACAAATCTTAATGGCTAGGGGCTGATTGTTTCTAGCCTATTTCTGCCATTAAAAAGCAATAACTTGGGACTTTTGATATGGCACAGCAGGTTAAGCCACCATCTACAGCACTGGCATCCCATATGGGTGCCCATTCAAGTCCCAGCTGTTCCATTTCCTATCCAGCTCCCTAGTAATGTGCCTGGGAAAGCAGCAGAGGATGGCCCAAGCCCATGAGCCCCTGCACCCACATGGGAGACCTGGAAGAAGCTCCTGGCTTCAGCCCAGCCCAGTATCAGCCGTTGTTGGCTATCTGGGGAGCGAACCAGCAGGTGGAAGATTCTTTCTCTTTCTAATTCTGACTTATAAATAAATAAAATAAATCATTTTTTAAAAAAGCAATAGCTTTGGAGCAGTTAGGACAGGTCAATTAAAATCTTTGGAATGTTGTCAGGGTCTGTTAAAACCATCCCTTTGAAAGAAATGTTTCAGATCTGGTGGATGAAAGACCAAATTAAAAGGTTATTTTAGAAACCAGCTGCAATACTAAAGAAATATAAGCCTAAATTTTCAGAATTGAATTTGTTCTTCATTTTAGCTGTGTTCCATTGAAGTGACTTGTGAATCAGCCAGTGTGATGGCTGCCACTCTGGCTAATGGCGGTTTCTGCCCAATCACTGGTGAAAGAGTATTAAGCCCTGAAGCAGTTCGAAATACACTGAGTTTGATGCATTCTTGTGGCATGTATGATTTCTCAGGACAGTTTGCCTTCCATGTAAGTAATTATTTAATCTGAATTTTCTCTTGCAAGAAAGTAGTCTGGACTGATGCTTTTAAAAATAAGCTTGAACTTTGCTTCGAAAGTTGTGCATTAAGTTTTGATAGAAGGACTTGTTTTCAAGGTTAATTTGTTACAGAATTGGTAAGGAATAGTGTTAAATAGTCTATCAGATGTTCTTAAAAACTTGAACATTTAATTTATAGAACTCACCAATACTGTTTTTAAAGCATTTCAATTGGTATAGAGTTTTTCTTTACTTTGAGTTGTTAATGTTTAGCATTATGGTGGTTACATACCTCAAGAATTCCTTAAGTTCAGAAAGAGTACATAGATGTGATACTTAACAACTTTGATTACAGCAATGGATTTTATAATAGACAAGATATATTTGTTAAATGTACTTCTTTAAATTCTGCTGTGCATTTGCCAGTAGTGAAATGTATAGAGTATTCTTATTTTATCATCTTGTATCATGTCATAATGCTGCTCTGAGTTTTTATTTTGATAGTTTTCAAATATACAAAATGGAGGGGTACAGCTAATGTTACCCATTACTCAACCTTCACTAATTTTAAACACATGACTGTTTCATCTCTATATATACCTATCTATTGATGTCTGTTTTTCTTGTTATTTTTCATAGGAAAGGCTGGGTTGTTTTATATATCAATGTGTAGATTTTGCTGATTATCAAGTCCATTGCCCTTTCCTGAAAATTGGAAGGTCTAGTTTAGTTGTTCTTTGTTTTGTCTAGTTTTATGCAAAATTACCTCATTAATGTATTTCTGTCAAGAGGTACTTAAAGTCTAAATGTTAGTAAGCCATTAATGAAGCTACAATTTCTCACTGTTTTCTAGTTATAAAATGTTTTTCAAAATAACTTCTTAACGTTATAAGCAATGCATACTTGTTTTAGAACAATTAGACATAACTACTTTTAGACATAACTACTTTTATCTCCTTGGAATGTGTCTTTCAAAAATTTTTCTCATGTATCAAGCTGCTTTGTTACTATCCTTTTCATTTATAATAGTATAAGCATGTTGATCAAACATTCATCTACAACATTTTTAATACTAAAATTCTATTGAATGGATATATACCATTAATTTTTAAGTTAATTCGCTATTCATGGACATAACATAATGTTTTTATGAATGCCCATTTTTATTGAATTAATTTCAGGTTGGTCTTCCTGCAAAATCTGGAGTTGCTGGGGGGATTCTTTTAGTTGTCCCCAATGTCATGGGCATGATGTGCTGGTCTCCCCCTCTGGACAAGATGGGCAACAGTGTTAAAGGAATTCACTTCTGTCATGTAAGCATATTTTTTTTTTCATGATTTGTTTATTTGTTTGAAAGTCAGTGTTAGAGATGGAGAGAGTGAGCTTCCATCTCCTGGTTTAAAATACATAGATTTTTTAAAGATGTGTTTACTTATTTGAAGGGCAGAGTTACAGAAAGAGGGCAAGGCAAAGAGAGATCTTGCATCTGCTGGTTCACTCCCCAGATGGCTGCAGGGGAAGGAGCTGGGCCCATTCAAAGCCAGGAGCTTCTTCTGGGTTTTCCAAGTGTGAGCAGGGGCCTAAACACTTGGGCCATCTTCTGCTGCTTTCCCAGGCCATAGCAGAGAGCTGGACTGGAATTGGCGCCCATACAGGATGATGTCACTACGGGTGGCAGCTTTGTCGGCTGTGCCACAGCACAGCTTCAGCATATTTGCTTAATGAAAACAGTGATCATAGAGATGGAGTGATCCCTTTTTTACTTTCTTTCCTGTAGTTTATTGACTCTGGACACGCTGCTTGCTGGTGTGCCAGTTACTGGGTAGCTATGGAAATATTTATAGGGAAACTTTGAGCTGTCATTTAAATGTTCTCACTGAAAATTACATTTGTTTGATGCTGCTTATGTTTTACTTTTGATGGTTATAATTAGCTTTTAATTTTCAAAAGTTCAACAAAAGATGTTAAATTTGGATATTATTAAATCTCAACAGTTATGGTTTATTATAAACCTTTTTTTTTAAAAAAAGATTTATTTATTCATTTGAAAGTCTTGAGTTACACAGAGAGAGGAGAGGCAGAGAGACAGACAGATAAAGTCTTCTATCCCTGGTTCACTCCCTGATTGGCCACAGTGGCCGGAGCTGTGCTGATCTGAAGCCAGGAGCCAGGAGCTTCTTCCAGGTCTCCCGCCCGAGTGCAGGTGCCCCAGCCCAAGCACTTGGGCCATCTTCTACTGCTTTCCCAGGCCATAGCAAAGAGCTGGATCGGAAGTGGTGCAGCCAGGACTTGAACTGGCGCCCATATGCGATGCCGGCACTGCAGGTGGCGGCTTTACCCCCTGCACCACAGCGCAGGCCCCTATTATATCACCCTTAATCTTCAGAGTTGAATGTATTTATTTATTTACTACCTTTAATTTAAAAGCCTTTTTTTTAAGAAATAAGGACTGCAACTAAAAATAAAAAGTGAAAGAAGTTACTAGTACATCTAATTAGTTCCATGTTATGTTATTACCCAGTTCAGCTTCTGAGCATATTTACATTTATTGCTTCCGTAAGTCCGTTTTAAGTACCATGATTCCTTTATCTGCAGACCTTCTCAATTAGAACTCTTGAGTTTTCAATTTTTCATAAAAACTAGAAAATATGTTGAGCTACAGTGTTGAGGAAATTATAATTGCTTATAAGCATAGTACTTATTTATGTCTTCATGATACTTAGCAGTTACTTGATAGAAGAATTCTTTTTTGTAGCCTGGTATTATAAATTGTATTTTACAGAAGGTAAATATTAGAGTGACCTGTAGGGTCATACACATAAGCAGTGTTCTCGAAACTTGTGTCTGTATCTTATTCTGATTTCTGTCCTTTTCTTGCTACATCTATGCTGCTTTATTAGCATACAGTATAAATACAGTTTGTTAAAATTTGAATAAGATTAATAGCCTATTCTTACACCTGTTTTATATGCCTTTCCAGGATCTTGTTTCTCTTTGTAATTTCCATAACTATGATAATTTGAGACACTTCGCAAAAAAACTTGATCCTCGAAGAGAAGGTGGTGATCAAAGGGTAAGCAAAATTCTTATTTAGATTATTTTGTAATTTTTTAAGAGAAAGGAATTATGAGTTTTGCCTATTTGAGTAAAATAAGTTTGTTAGTGGTTCTATGTCTTTGCCAATCCCAAATGAGTATAAACTAATTATTTTCATCTGAATCACTGTCACTTGTATATAGATAGTAAATACTGCTGTTTTCTTTTTGAAATTAGAAATGATTAGCCTATCAACCGGTTTCCCACCAACCAGTGTCTGCTCCATTTTCTATTTTAAGCAAGATGTTTAGAATGAAGTATGTTAAAATAAGACATTTTAAAGTGCCACATACTGTTAATCTAAAGAAAGAAAGTATTGTTCTTACTCTTAATATTTGTCAGTTATGGTCCTGCCTGTTGTGTGGATGAATCTTTAATGGAAAAGGATTATAATAGTAGTGACAGACCTTATGAAACTTCATCATGTTCTTATAGGCTACAAGAGATGGAATTTTTTTTCTCAAAAAAGTATTTAATACAATATTCCTCATATCCTTAAAGTCCTGTCCATTTATTATCAGTGTATTTATTAGCTTTATATTATTATACATATATACTTCTTTTTAAGAGCTAGTTTAAAGATTCAAGATTCAAATTTTTTGGTCTGGATGGTTTTTCGCTGGACCAAGGGACTTGTATTGGGAATTTTAATTTAGCTCCCTTGTATTCCATATGAAAAATGTTTATAGTAGAATTACTTAGACTTGAAGCTAATATGAAGCACTTGTAAGAAGACAATATTTTCAGTTTGTACTAAGTAAAGTTTGCTAGTTAGTGCCAAATTAAATGTTTGTTAGCTTGGATCAAAATAACCTCTGATAATATGTGAGAATTATTCAAAGTTAACAGAATAGAAACTTTTGTGGGAGTCATTGTGAGTATCATGGAGCAAATGTCAGATGATGGTGGGTGAAAATGTTAACAGATTTTAATAACGTTCATTGAAAAATACCATTTTGTAGCTTGGACCTTTCTTCACTCAAGTGCACTAATAAATTATGTATGTTGCTTGAACAACTAGCATTCCTTTGGACCATTGGACTATGAAAGTCTCCAACAAGAACTTGCTTTAAAAGAAACAGTATGGAAAAAAGTGTCACCTGAGTCAAATGAGGACATCTCCACAACTGTAGTGTATAGAATGGAAAGTCTGGGAGAGAAAAGCTAAAGAAATGGGGTCTAGCTTCAGAATGTTTCTTCATTTAGCATTTCAAACATCTTTAGCTACTTTGCAAATTACAAATATTTATTTGAGGTTTTTTTCTGTTCTCAATTTTGAGTGTTGGAGCCATAAAGCTTTTTTCCCTTAAATCTTTGTAAAGGATAATAGATGAAAAAGTGAATTTGTTAATTTTTAAAAGGTTATTTACAAGTAAATAAGGCAAATTTACTTTGGTTTTCAAAGGAAAATTCAAAACAATTTGCTTGATGTAATTAAAATTTAAAATATATATATATAGTCAGATAATTCTGTTTTAAAATAGTAACAGAAAATTGTAATTTCTCAGTTCTAAAACCTACAAATTGAACTTACATAAGTTTTTTGTTTCATTTTATTTTATTTTTTTCCAGCTTAAAACTGACATGATGTCTGTAGTGGCAATAGAAAGTACTTCTATGCTAAATACAAAACTAAAAAGGCAAAATAATGAACTCCAAATTATTTTATTTAAAATAGCAATAAGATTATAACATTAGCTTAAGTTTGCATGTATGCCATTTTTAGTGATAGATTGATTTTAAATTTAAAAAATTTATTTAAAGTTTTATCCAGTGCTTTTAAATGTGTCTCCTTACTTTTTAACTTCACAACTCCTATGTTCTGTCAGAATTGTCTGTAGGAGTATCTTAGGACTGAAACATTCCAGCCAAAGAATTTCACATGTGAGATAATGGCGTATTTCATGGTTAAAAAGCTATAATGGTTACTTACTCAGAAGGAGACAGTGAATGTCTTCACTTGAAATGTTTGCCCAAACAGTTTTATTTTCATACTATCCACATAATTTTTCTATGTTATATTTAAGTATGAATGGCAAATCTTGGTTTTTAGCTTAATAATTTTATTCTAGTAATTTTATAAATGCTTTTGTGATAAATTATAAAGTTTGTTCTGTTTGAACTCTTTTATAGTATTTAGGAAATGAATTTAGTCTGAAGGTAGTAAGAATACTACTAAAAATGTGTTAGATCTGAATCCTTCTGTTTGGTTATAAAAATGCAATATTGAGAATCAAAACTTGTTTTCTGAAGAGAGCTGTAGGCTCTACATAACCTGATTTCAGATAATTATTCACAGTATTTAAAAAGTCTGGGCAAAATGTACAATTCTGTAGGACCTATTCACATTTCTTCCTTCTTCCATATACATCTCTGGTTTTCCCACAGTTTCAAGCAGTTTGTTTTTTGTTGTTGTTGTTTTTAAAGTTTATTTTTAAACATGTAAATTTAGTGGTGCAGAGGGTTTAGAAAGAAATCTTCATGGCTTCTTAGCATGATGGCAATAAATGTGATAGGGCAAAGTCTGTGAAAGAAAATATATTAGCAAAAAAGTTTTCATTAATTTAAAGATTAGTACAAACAGAAAATCTTGATCAAATGATGTGTTGATATTAGCAAAGGAAGTTCCCTCCCAGAGGTCTTGTCAGAAGCCTTTTGGGGTAACTTAAGTATCAAATTTATATATTCAAATAATCGTATTAAGTTTTAAGAGGATTTTGCCAAAGATTTTGTGGTTACCTTGGCGCCCCTCTAGCTGAGATGCACATCCTCGGCAGGTGCTTCTCAAGGCTGCACTGCGGCTGTGCCTGTTCCATCAGGGCCATCTGTAACTGGGGCGGCGGGATGCCTTCATGGGAAGAAAAGGCTTTATTTATTCCCCTTATGCTTTAATTGTTACATTCTACTCAGAGATGGGTTTTACTTAAAAAATTAAGATTTAGTTTTTTGTGTGTGTTCATACAGACTTCAAAGTTAGGTTGCTAATTTGTGGCATTCACTACAATATTGGTAAGGCTTAAATACACAGGTAGAAAGAAGCAGGGTTATCTAAGCTAGCATTTTAAAGACTGTTGTTTAGAATAAATGTTGAAGTTTTTTTTAACATTTATTTCTATATTTGAAATTCAGAGTTATATAGAGGAACACACACACACATACACAGAGAGAGAGAGAGAGAGAGAGATCTTCCATCTGTTAGTTCACTTCCCAAATGGCCACAATGGCCAGGGTTGGGCCAGGCCAAAGCTAGGAGTCAGGAGCTTCTTCCTGATCTCTCACATGGGTACAGAGACCCAAGCACTTGGGCCATCTTCTGCTGCTTTTCCCAGGTGAAATAGCAGGGAGCTGGATCGGAAGTGGAGAAGCCAGAACTCAACTGGTTCCCATATGGGTTACCAGCTTAGCAGGTGGCAGCTTTATCCGCTACATCACAATGCCGGCTCCATGTCTAGAGATTTTTATAGGAAGGTATAAGTGGAAGAAGAAGTAAGATATTGTGAATAGGTCCTCAAACAAAAAAGGAAAGCTCTGTCAGTTTTAAGAGCACATTTTGATTCCTTCAGTATTCTTAACGCCTTTTCAAATAAAGTCCTTGAAAAGTACCCAGTATTGTTGGGTTTAATGTTTCATGCCATTACTGATTCTTGATATTCAAGCATTTTACAAGATAGCATTTTTGTTTTTGTTTCCTTTCTCTTTTTTGGCATCATTAACATTTCATTTGAAATGCATATTCTTCCTGAAATACTTTGTTTTTAGCATAAATGTTGTACATTTTATCTTAGTGTTTGGATGAAAACATTTGTGTTGTTCAGCTTTCTTTTATTTGCTTTGTATATTTAATAATGTACCTTTATTTTCCAGTATGCCTACTTTTTGTATTGTAAAATAAATTTATTTTAAGCTGATTTTATTGTTTTTATTTTTCTAAAAGCAACTTCAACATTTTAAGTACAACAAACAGTTGAGATTCTAACTTAGAAAAAAAATGATTCATTACGAAGATACTATTACAGTGTTTATTATTTGGGGACTGCCCCAAACTGAAACTACAGATTTAAGAGGGTTTCATTGGTAGTAGTATTGGTGGGCGTTTGGGGGCAGAGATGTTTCCTATTGGTTGTAGTAGGAGAATTTGAATAAAGAGTTTTCTCCCAAATTTTTTGGTTGTTTTTCCATTTGATAACTTAAAAATATACAACCCTATTTGTAAGGTTTTTTCTGCCTTCTAAGGAAGAATATCATTGATATTATTCATGTGTAATTCTCATTTTGTCTGTTGTTGCCTAAAGAATAGGGAAAACATTTCTAACTCAGTCGATGTATATAGATGGTGAGGAACATCCGGTCTGCCAGCCACATGAGGCCCACGAAATCATGTGGTCTGCCCCCGCCTAAGCATTTGCAGGTGGGACTCGAAATTCAGTAAATCTACAGCAGGCTAATTTTTCAGTTGATGATTTTGTATGGCCCACAAATGATGTTATAAATACCCAAATGGTCCTTGGCAGGAACAGTTTCCCACCCCTACAAAACTGTGAATGTCAGTGGAATTTATATTGAGTGGAATGACTATTATACAGAAATTCACCCTAACTGCTTTTTTAAGGGATTTAATTTTCAGAAGGAACTTCTGTATATTTCCACAGCATAGTCCAAGTTATAGAGACTATGCATTTTAGGCCAAACACAGTACTTTGTATTTCTCAGTTTGATTAAATCTGCCATTCACATACCAGAGATTTCCAAAATGTGTTATAGAAGTTTAAAAACTGTTTGAAAAGGGAAATAGGCTTGCTTACATACATTTGTCTTAATCTGGGATTTTTTTCATAAAGTTCTTTTAAGACTAATTAATAACAAGTTCCACTGATTATGTAATCAATATATGATGGATTTAGCATATGCACACTTGTTTTTAACATACATTTTTTAAAAAAAAACCCATGTGAAGCAAAAGGAGAGGTGATTCAACATGTTTGATGTAGATCTGACTGTAACGTTTCATAGGCATGTGTGTGTATGTGGAAAGAACTGCTGACATACACAGCTGTGTCATTCTGTGTCTTGATCATGTGTATATAATGAATGTGTGTTGTAAATGTTTGTGTTTTCATGTATACGTATCTTATCTATATATTTGTTCATATTCTAAAAATGACTAAGTTCTTTCCCTGTAGTAGGTTATATATAAATGATTCATTGATTTATTATGTTCATATTCCAAGATTTGCCATAAAAGAACTATTTTTGTTGCCCTAGAATTTATAAAATATTCAAGTTGACTGTGCAGGTCTGTGGTTTCTGTTGCTGCTCCCATTCACTGCCAGCATTGTCAGGGTAAAAGAGAGACCGTATTGGGGAGCTCCACAAACATCGCATTTCATGTGGTCTTTGACTTTAAACCACCTTCCAAAATAGAAGGAAGGATTGTATTCAGCTTAAAATAGGTGGTACACTTTTGAAGTTGAGTTTCTGGGATAGTCTTACCTTGCATAGTTTTCACTTTTGAGGATTTGCTTTACTGTTTATTTGTAAAGTTTCTGGTTTTTCTCATGAATGACCCTGAAAAAACTAGAATGCATTTTTAAAGATTTATGATCAGTCTTCTTAATGTGATATCTTTTGAAGTCCCTGTCTACCATTTTACACTAAATGTCATATTTGCATCATGTAATAAAAGCCAAAACGAGATATTGAAGGTGCAATATAAATCAAAGTTTCTTACCATGCATGATGGCCCTGCATTCAGATTTTCATTTAGACAATCTGTCATGGAGTTCAGGGCAAAATTTTACATAAACATAGATAAGTGTGATTATATCCAAGTTCAGCCATTTTTTCTTACATGTCAGAAATTTAATCAAGCTGGGGCAGATCTCCCCTCATGTCTCCCAGTAGATTAATAATATTAATAATATAAAGCTACAGAATGCATGTGCCTTGAAGAAATTTAGAAAACTGTAAGGGCATTATTCAAACCTCATGTCTCTTAAAGTTCTTAACTTCTTAAATAGTAATAGAAAAGGTATTTATTTTTAAAATGATGTTAAACAGATGGATCATAAATCTTCTTTGATAAATTGAGTTTGTTGATATGGTTTTCAAACTATTTGTGACCAGGAAGGGAAGGACATTTGGAATTGACTTTGCCATTTTGGTTTTGTGGTTTGTAGATCAAATTTATTAATTTTTCTGTTTATAGAGATCTTAAAAATATGCCATGTATAAGACTAATTTTTATGAGAACTTTTATAATTGCCTTTACCTTTAAAGTTCATTACCTTTAGAATGTTTGGAATACTAATTAGGACATGGGTGCACTTGATTTTTGGTTCACTATGGTTTTTGTATAAATTACATTTTTAAATTATAAAGTACTTAGTGTTGAAAACTGTTATTTATTTCTTATGTTGAAAGAAAAAATCTTGATTTTTGCCCTCAAAAAGCTCATAGTAGAATGGATGAGTTGTTGCTGCCTCTTTTTTCTTAAAGACTAATTATTTGAAAGAGTTACATAGAGAGAGAGGGAAAGACAGAAAGATTTTCCATCTGTTCATTTCCACATGCCCGCAACAGACAGGGTTGAGCCAGGCTGAAGCCAGGAGCTTGGAGCTTCATCTGGGTCTCTCACATGGTTAGCAGGGACGCACACATGGCCCATCTTCTACTGTTTTCCCAGGCCATTAGCAGGGAGCTGGATTGGAAATGGAGCAGCGGGACATGAACCAGTGCCCATATGGGATGTTGGTGTCAGAGGCGGCTGCTTTACGCACTAGCCTAATGCCAGCTCCCCGCTGCTGCTGCTTACATGGATCTCATAACACTGTTGGACTTTTGACTCAGTCTCACTAATTCTGAAATATTTTTGTTAAATTTTTATAGACCAGATCTTAGGGGTAAAGAACAATGTGGCATACTTACTTATTTGTAAGCCGAATTTAATATCTCAGGTCATGATTTTTCTGGACACAGTATTATTAAAAATAATGGTCTTCTTTTTACTAAGTGTTTACCTTGCTGGGATATTTTTAATCCTAATACCCTAGATGATTAAAATTGTCTATTTGGAAAGCTTAGCTTTTGAAAGGAAAGATTCTTAACTGAAATAGCTTTTAAATTTCTGTTTTCATATAACATTTCTGGTGATTTTTGTTTGTACAATGCAGGTCTCTTCTGACTATCAGTTATACTTGGAACCCTGAGCTATGATTAATTCCATAGTCTACAGCTAAAGAGTTTCTTTTATTTTTTTAAAAGTAGTTCAACCTTTGTAGATCTTTGATGTACTTTTGTTTACTGTAATTTTTTTTTTCTTTTTTAAATCATAAGATTGAGGTTGAAAGTAATCTTAGAGAATATCTGCTATAAATTCCCAACCTACCTATATTTCTATTCCAGGTCTCTTACACCTTGCTTACCCTATGGGCATATTTACAATATTTTTTTTTTTTGGAGTTGGTTTGTAAGTTTTTGGACAGAGTTTTCATTTGTTGGTTATTTTTAGTAACTATAATAGGCAGTAATTAGTATGATGATCAGTTACTTGGTAGCCTACCATCAACATTTATTAAAACTACTTAGAATTTATAAACTGCTTGTAATTAATTACAGCAGTCATGCTGCAGTTTTTAAAAGCTGTTGTGTTGTCATTATGCTGTAGTTCTAAAAATAAAATACTACCCTAGAGTCTTTGAAAGAAAGTGTAACCGAAATGTTATTTTAAAAATAAACATTGTACATTGTCTTTTAAAAGTAAATTCCTCTGGGGTTATTAAACATGAGTAGCATTTTTAAATAAGTGAAAAGTTATTCAAGTTGTAAAGAAATTTTTTCTTTACGTATTGTCTTTTTAGCAGACACATGCAAAATACCTAGTTACTTGTTTTTGTTTTAGATATTTGGATCTGTGAGTAGCCTCAAAGCAAGGTTTCTGATTTGTCTGTTTATTTACTTTGTAATGCGTATTATCTTCAGTTTCAATTTCTATTTCATAGTTCTGGGTTTTTATCTTTGATTTATGAAGGAAAATATGTATGTTGTATTCTTAAAATTCATTACCTTTCTAAAGCACTTATTGGCTTGAAATATTAAGACTTAAATATTGTTAAAAAAGTAATGATTTGTTAATTCTCAGACTGTAAACTTGCCTGGGTATCTCTTCACAAGTTTATGAAAGTGAGAACCTCGACTTTCATGAGACTGATTTCTTCACTGTGAGCTCTGCTTCCTTTTTTTTTTTTTTTTCTTATTTCACTAAAGTAAGTAAGAATGGTTCTGAACTGTTATCAGTTGTATAGAAATGACAGCTCATGTTTGAACCATTCTGTTGTGAAATATAAAGAAATCTGATCTTCAGTCTCTTATTAAACTTCTCTTGTGTCCTGGATTAGCATTACCAGTTTTCATTTTTTGGCTTGTGCCTTTCACAAATCACTAAGAGGCAATTTACAAAATGTCTTGAGGGGACAGCATTTAAACTTTTTTAGTCTTGAGTTTCCATTAAATGAGAATTTATGATGTATAAATCCATGGCATAAATGATTATTTGAACTCCAACCAAAGACTACTGTTTGTTCTTTCTCATAGTCACTCAGCATTAAAGATCGTAGTTGAAGTCAAAATGTGTTATCTTACTTTTAGGAACTCTAATTTATTTTCATCCTTCTATATCATGATCAATATCATCTGAAAATGAAATAATAATAGAAATTATATCAGAGTTACTTATGAAATGGGTTATTTCCAATTGTTCATGTTGCTGGTATGTTCACTTCCAAATCATTTAATGTTATTGACACCACTCTAATTTAATTTTCTTTAAGAACAAACAAAAAACAGAAAAAGAAACACATGAAGGTCCAAATTTCTCTTTAGTATAATGTGGCTTATTCTTTATCATTTTATA